AGTGTCCAGGAATTTATCAATTTCTTCCAGGTTTAGTGGTTTATGTGCATAAAGTTATTTGTATAATCTTGATTGTAGTTTATATTTCTGGAATCAGTGGTGTTATCCCCTTTATTGTTTTTTATTGCATCTATTTGATTCTTCTCCCTTTTCTTTTTTGTTAATCTGGCTAGTGGTCTGTCTATTTTGTTGATCTTTTCAAAAAACCAGCTCCTGGATTTATTGATTTTTTTAAAGGGTATTTTCTGTCTCTATATCCTTCAGTTCTGCTCTGATCTTAGTTATTTCTTGTCTTCTGCTAGCTTTTGAGTTTTTTTGATCTTGCTCCTCTAGCTCTTTCAATTTTGATGATAGGGTGTCGATTTTTGATCTTTCCTTGCTTCTCATGTGGGCATTTATTTCTATAAATTTCCCTCTAGACACTGCTTTAAATGTCTCCCAGAGATTCTGGTATATTGTGTCTTTGTTCTCATTGGTATCAAAGATATCTTTATTTCTGCTTTCATTTCATTGTTTATCTAGTCAACATTCAGGAGCCAGTTTTTCAGTTTCCATGAAGCTGTGTGGTTCTGAGTTAGTTTCTTAATTCTGAGCTCTAATTTGATTGCCCTGTGATCTGAAAGACTGTTTGTTATGATTTCTGTTCTTTTGCATTTGGTGAGGAGTGATTTGCTTCCAATTATGTGGTCAATTTTAGAGTAGGTGCAATGCAGTGCTGAGAAGAATGCATATTCTGTGGATTTGGGGTGGAGATTTCTGTAAATGTCTATTAGGTCCTCTTGGTCCAGATCTGAGTTCAAGTCCTGGATATCCTTGTTAATTTTCTGACTCGTTGATTTGTCTAATATTGACAGTGGAATGTTAAAGTCTCCCACTATTATTGTGTGGGAGTCTAAGTCTCTTTGTAGGTTGTTAAGAACTTGTTTTATGTACCTGGGTGCTCCTGTATTGGGTGCGTATATATTTAGGATCGTTAGCTCTTCTTGATGTGTTGATCCTTTTACCATTATGTAATGCCTTTCTTTGTCTCTTTTGATCTTTGTTGGTTTAAGTCCATTTCATCAGAGACTAGGATTGCAACTCCTGCTTTTTTTTTTTTTTTCTCTCCATTTGCTTGATAAATCTTCCTCCATCCCTTTATTTTGAGCTTATGTATGTCCTTGCACGTGAGATGGGTTTTCTGAATACAGCATACTGATGGGTCTTGACTTTTTATCTAATTTGCCAGACTGTGTCTTTTTACTGGGGCATTTAACCCATTTACATTTAAGGTTAATATTGTTAAGTGAATTTGATCCTGCCATTTTGATGCTAGCTGGATGTTTTGACAGTTAGTTCATGCATATTTTTCATTATGTCGATGGTCTTTACCATTTGGTATGTTTTTGGATTGGCTGGTACTGGTTGTTTCTTTCGTTGTTTAGTGCTTCTTTCAGGCAGGCCTGGTGGTGATGAACTCTCTCAGCAATTGCTTGTCCATAAACGAATTTCTTTCTCCTTCGCTTATGAAGCATAGTTTGGCTGGATATGAAATTCTAGGTTGAAAGTTCTTTTCTTTAAGGATGTTGAACATTGGACCCTACTCTCTTCTGGCTTGTAGGGTTTCCGCCAAGAGATCCGCTGTGAGTCTGATGGGCTTTGCTTTGTGGGAAACCTGACCTTTCTCTCTGGCTACCCTTAGCATTTTTTCCATCATTTCAACCCTGGTGAATCTGACAATTTTGTGCCTTGGCATTGCTCTTCTTGACAAATATCTTTGTGGTGTTCTTTGTATTTCTTGGACTTGAATGGTGGCCTGGCTTGCTAGGTTGGGGAAGTTCTCCAGGATAATATTCTGAAGAGTGTTTTCCAGCTTGGATTCATTCTCTCCATCACATTCAGATACATCTCTCAAATGCAGATTAGGTCTTTTCACATAATCTCATATGTCTTAGAGGTTTGTTCATTTCTTTTCACTCTTTTTTCTCTATTCTTGCCTTCTCATTTTATTTCATTCATTGGATCTTCAGTCTCTGATATCCTTTCTTCTGCTTGGTCAGTCAGGCTATTGAAACTTGAGTATGCTTCACCAAGTTCTCGTGCTGTGTTTTTCAGCTCCATCAAGTAATTTATCTTTTTCTGTAAGCTGTTTATTCTAGTTAGCATCTTATCTAACCTTTTTTCTAGGTTCTTAGTTTCTTTGCATTGGGTTAGTACATGTTCTTTTAGCTCTTAGAATTTTGTTATTACCCACCTTCTGAAGCCTGTTTCTGTCAATTCATCAGATTCATTCTCCATCCATCTTTGATCCCTAGCTTGTGAGTTGTTCTTGTTTTGGTGTTTTTTGCACTGTTTTTTTGCATCTTTTGGCACTGTTTCTTCCTATCTTAGCACCTTTATCTACCTGTGGTCTTTGTAGTTGGTGACTTTTGGATGGGGTCTCTGAGTGGATGTCCTTTTTGTTGATGATGAAGTTATTTCTTTCTGTTTCTTAGTTTTCCTTCTAACAGGCCCCTCTGCTGCAGAACTGCTGGAGGTCCACTCCAGACCCTGTTTGCTTGGGGATCACCTGTGGGGGCTGCAGAACAGTAAGGGTTGCTACCAGTTTCTTCTTCTGTTATCTTCATCCCAGAAGGGTAACTGCCAGACGTTGGCCTGAAATCTCCTTTATGAGGTGTCTCTTTGGGTATATGGGGGTCAGGAGCTGCTTGTCTGTCCCTTATTGGAGCTCAAGTGCTGTGCTGGAAACTCCATTATTCTGTGCAGAGCTTCTGGGCAGGTACTTTTAAGTATACCACAGCAGAACTCATAACCACCTCTTTTCCCAGGTGCTCTATCCTAGGTTGGGCAACTTTATTTGTAAGTTCCTGTCATGCCGCTACCTTTTTTCATAGATGCCCTACCCCACATGGAGTAGTCTAGTCACAGTCTGCCAGCAGAGGTTTTGCTTAGCTGCTGCAGGCTCTTGTCAGCTGCTGTGTGAAATGCCTTGGTAGTGGCAGACTGCCTAGGTAGTGGTGGTTGCCCTTCCCCACACTGAGCTGGACTGTCCTGGGTCCTGCTGTGCTTGCTGTGAAACTCTCAATCCAGAGCATTTCAGATTGCTTGTTTTGTGGGGGTGGTACCTGCTAAGCCAGATAGCCTGGTGCCCTGTCTCCGCCCCCTCCCTTTCAGTTGAATGGGCAGCTCTGTCTCCCAGGTGTTTCAGGCGCCAGTTGAAACAGCCACCCAGATTTGTGTTTCTGTACACCGATGTGGCACCAGCTGAAACCACCATGCTGAAAACTCATGCTTTTAGGCCCAGGAATCTCCTGCTCTGTAGGCAGTGAAAATTTGTTGGAAATGCAGTGGGAACACACCCTCTGCATTGTTCTTGCCAGGAATTGCACTCCAGAGCAGTTCCTATTCGGGCATCTTGGATCCTCCCCACTCTTTTGCTCTTAACAGAATGGAAATCTTAGAAATGTTGATGGGAAAATGACATGAATCATGACAAGAAAGAAATGATGGAAATACAAATATTAGAAAGCCAATGTTTGTGGATGTTTTAAACTGTCATATATATTCATAGGGCTTACTCCACAGGTATGTGCAACAGGTAACTCTGGTAGTTTCTAAAGATGCTCCCAATGAATTATGCCTCCTGGTATGTCTTCCCTATGTAGTTTCCTTCTACATTGACTCTTGACTGGCCTATAACTTGTGTTCACAACAAATAGAATGTGGCAAAAGTGAAGCCCTGTGTCCCAGAGATTCTGGTACATTAACCTTTCATTCTCATTGGTTTCAAATAATTTATTTATTTCTACCTTAATTTCATTATTTACCCAGTAGTCATTCAGGAGCAGGTTGTTTAGTTTCTATGTAGTTATACAGTTTTGAGTGAGTTTCTTAATCCTGAGTTCTAATTTGATTGCACTGTGGTCTGAGAGACTACTATGAATTTCATAGAAAAAAATTGTATATATTTATGGTATACGTAACATTTTAGTATATGTACACATAATGAGATGATTAGATCAAGCTAAGTAACATATACATAACCTCTCATAAATTTTTTTTTGGTTGCTGTTTTAATGCTAAGTTTTGGGGTGACTTATTTCAGACAGCCTCAGCAGTGACTGTCTATCTCATGTGACTTTAAGGATGTCTAAATGTTTCCCAGTTGTGCAATATCTACAGGATCATTGAATGCCAAGTCTCCAGGGAAAGGAATGATGAAAGGGGAAGTTACTGGAAGAAAAGAGAGAAGGAAGTTGAGGCCATAGAGAGGAGGGCCTTAAAAAGAAAACTTTAACTGCTTGCCAGTTTGGCCAGCAGACTATTGGAGCAGGAACAGCTGCATTTAGACCAATAGTTCCAATGCTTTGTTTCATAGCTCTGAGCTTTTCCTTAGGTGAACTTATGTTTTGAAACTGTGTCATGTAGTACCAGCTAGAATACAACCAGCATTATACATTGAGTTCTACTATGGTTATTTTATTTTAGTTCTATTCCATGTCTAATGATCACCAACCTTGAATATCAATGTGTGCAGTCCATAGGGAGACCAGGACAGATTCACAAGTTCAATGGGGCTACTGGAAATATGCTTGGTTGTTTCTTTACTCATAGAAAGTCAGAAAAATCATTGTTATATAGGAAAGGCAAAATATTTTAAGTACTTATTTCATTTGATAACATTGTTTTTCTCTTCACTGTCAAGAAAAACCATTTAAAAATCATGTCTTTGTTTCCTTTGCTCTTAATTCATAGTTATTCTAAAGAAAAATGTAGAAATGAAAGTTATCTAGGTCTATCAATTCTTATTTAAAGTAATATCTGCTTTATTAGTGTATATAGGATTTAAAAGAGTTATAATGAAACATTTTAACCACATAAATATTATTTCATAGCATTTTTAATCATTGTGAAAGATAAGCCATTTTCTTGTTCTCAATATTTTCCTATTTGTATTCAAATTAATGCAGAAGTAATAGCCATTATCTTACTTACTAGTAGCAAGGAGTTACATTATAAAAGCTTCTTGTATAAAATTTTATTCACTAATAGAAAAAAAAGAAAAATAATGGAAAATTGTTAACATTTAAAACAGTGTAGAATACATTGCCCATTCTAAATGGTTTGAAGTCTTAAAGAGTCTCTTCCTGGGTTTTTGAACATTCAAGTCTAGTAAATATCACAGCCAAAGAGTTCCAGGCGAAGTGCAATACTTTGATTCCATGTTTTAGGAATGACACGGATAAACCTGGAAATGATTGGGGGGTTGAAAAAGTTCTTCACATGTCCTTTGGTATTAGTATTTCCTTCAAAAATCTGAAAGCAAAATATGAGATCTTTAATGACAGTATAAATGGATATATAAAAATCTTACAGATGTTTTTAAAATTTGTATTTAATAAGATATTTGGTGCTATCCCTATTGAATACATTTTGTTTGTTTGTTTGTTTAGATAGGGTCTTATTCTGTTGCCCAGGCTTAAGTGCAGTGGCACAATCATGGCTCACTGCAGCCTTGAACTCCTAGGCTCAAGTAATCCTCTTGCCTCAGCCTTCCAAAGTGCTGGCATTGCAGGCATGAGCCATCACGTCCAACCCAGGTAATTTTTTTATCCTATTAGCTCAAAATGAGTATGTCAAAGAACACATAGAACACTATCACAAAGACGATCCTCTACCAGTTACAAAATCACATGCCAGATAGACTCCGTTAGGGATTTCATCTCACCAATGATCTGAGTTAAATTGGGGAAAAATAAACAAGTCACACATGGTGCTGTGGAGCAGCTACAAAACCAGCTCTGCCCTCAGCCCCTTTGTATTAGCTGTGTGACTGAACAAGTTACTTATTCTCTGATTTTTCATTTTCTCATAGGCAAAATAAGGTTAATAAAATTTTACCTCATGAAAGTCATTGTAAAGATTTAAAAATGAATGTAAACATAAATATATAGTGTCAAGAAGTGGCCACCAATAAATGTTTAATTATTGCTAACATTTAAAATAAAATGTGACCATGAATTTAAATTTATTTATCCTTGTTGGCATGTACCTTATATCCTCAACTAAACTGTGTGACTACCCCACCCCCCACCACCAATCATCAACAAGTTCCCCAAGGTTTATACACAGCAGAAATGAAATCTCTATTTGTGTATGACAATGATGTTTATCCTCCTATGAGGGTAACCTGGTGTATGTAGTGAGAAGTAAACAAACCAAAATAGACAACCAGGAGTTTAAAAGGGAGAAAGACAGGTTCAAATTCATTGACTGAGATAAGTGCTGAGCATTTGATGAAAATTCATTAAATGCCAGTTCCTTTCTCCTGTGCTGTCTCTCTACTGGCTTCAGCACAGTTTCCATTCCTGGAATATTACACCCATCTCCTTAGTTTTGCCTCTGGTAGTTTTTAAACCACATAACTAGGAGGTAGAGGAATGTAGAAATGTAGTGGAGTAGTTTGTTTTGCAGGAAATCTAGTCTCGTCATCAATAAGGACATGGATTATTATCTGTTTAATAACAACCTCATCATCAGTAAGGATATCAGTTATCTTCTGTTTAATACCAATGTAACACAGAAAGGTTTATGGCATTGGGCATTTGATCAGTCATGAATAACAAGTACATCTAAGGTAATGCTAACATGTTGTTATTTCACAATGAAAGGTTTTCTGGGTCCCTTCAGTATCTTTCTCAGTTAGAACTAGCTAAACCTTACAATATTTTCTGGTGCTTTGTCACCACTGTTTCACAGGTGGCTCTGTCAAAGCAGAAAGGTCATGTGCGTGGTCTCTGTCCTGAGACCAGACCTCTGAAGAACTACGATTCAGAGGACTTAAAGAGGTGGTACATATCAGTGCATATTTGTCAAATGCAAAATACTGTTATTCTCATCAGAGCACAGTCTTGAGATTGCTTTCTCTTTAACCAGATGCCACTCTACCTTGTCGACCATGGAGGATTTCAGTCTGTAAGGTTTCCATTCCACTCCCTGGTCACTGTAGTGGATGCTATAGCTCTTTACATACATTTCAGAGGACAGTGACTTGCATCCCTGTGTTATAATCGCAGTTATCTTCTTGATTTTGAGTAGATCAATTTGTAACCACTGTTTGTTGTTGTTTGCCTATAAAAATGACAAAACCACATAGATAAGGAAGATGTTAAAACCTTTGTTTTTTTTTTTCTCTTAGACTAAGATACCAAAAAAAAAAAAAAAAAAATAGCACAGAGCTCAAAAGGATTTTGTTCTGTCTTATCCCTTAGGATTCACTGTCTCCTAGAAGCTCTTCCTCTTTCTTCTTTGTGGCCACAACATGTGCATAAATTTCTATTGAAGTATTTCACACACTGTGCTGTAATTGTTTCCTTCTTAGTATTCTTTACTGCTTGAGGGTAGAGGCTTAATTAGTTTTGTTTTCTGGTACTCACCACAATGTAAGACATTCAGTTGGTGTTCAATAAATAGTTGAATAAATGAATAAATAAATTTTTATTTGGAAAAAATTATTAAATTGCTAAGTTATCTGTAAATATTACTTTCTTAAGCAATATGATAATATTGCTGAAGAGTTATCTGGGAAATAATTGGATAGCATCCTCTCTCTGTTTCACTTATTTTACAAAAGCCCAACTTCTCTTTCCCCCGCTAATGTCAAATAGCAGAAATAGTTCAATTTCTTCTGATATTTCAAATAAATGTAATATTTGAGAGGCCTGGTAAAACCATAAGTAGAGCTTGATATACAGTACAGGTATTGTTTTGTCTCCAGCCTAACAAAATGCCTAATCCTAATGTTGGTGATATGCATTTGGAGAAAGATCAGAAGGTTTAACTGAGTATCAGAATAATCTGAGATAAATTTTTACCTTTGGGAGATTTATAATCTACCACAGACTCCTTCAATCCTAAAGGGAATAATACTAACATGTTTCTTCAACATCACCCACACAAACATAGGTTCATGTGTATATGTAGGTGATGTAGGTATATGTGTATTTATACAAAAATCTACATGCCATGTGTATTTTAAAAGAAAATTAACTGAATTAGAATGATTATATGAGAAAACTTTTAAGTCTATAACATCCTGTAATGACATCTGGGTGGTGTCTTAGTATGTCTTCAAATCAAGGTTGTACCAGTGATACAGAGTATAAGCAGCTAGAAGGGTTTTGTAGGCATAACAGAGATAGAGATATTTTAGTTATTGAGAGAATAGCATCTATGCACATGCCTGTATGTGTCCAGCTTTGATTTTCAACCTCTCTAAAGAAACCATATAAAGATATTTCATGTGAATGGAAGGTTAAGTGAAACACATATTTCTGATCCAGAATTCTAACTTTGAAATGACAGCATTAAAAATCAGCATTTTACCTTTGAAGCCTTTATTATACCACAAAGACTAAGAGCAAATTATAGAGTGTGCAAAATTTTTTTAAAGGTTGTAAAATGAAGGATAAAATGACAAGGTTATACCATGAACAAGTCTAAAGAGTCATCTGAAAAAGAATTGAATAACATCTCTTTAACTATTATATATATTGCTATGTAAATTATATAAATATAATGTAATATAACATTATTTTTATTATTTTAACTTCTCTGGGTATCAGCTTTCCCCTCTGCAAAACTGCAAAATGAGGTATTTGGGCTGCTTTAAGTGGTGGAAGGAGCATGGCCTGTTTACTGGGAGAATGGGATTTTAGTCCTGATCTGCTACCAGACTAAGCTAAAATTATTTAATCTCCTGTGTATTTAGACTCAAAAGGAAAAATCTAGACCAGATGTTTTGCTTCTTGCTACTGTAACATTCTGTGATTCTGTGATGGGCCAGAATGAGTTTCAAAACACGGATATCAGTTCCCACGACTGTGTGGAATCCAATCTTTTCTATTTACTGCACTAGCATCACAAGTCTTTTTTTCCTTTCTGGTAGCCTAATTTAAGGATAGGTGCTGGAATTCTATAGAAAGTCAGGGAATTGGAGTGTAGATATCTTAAGGGAGGAGATATGAGGATAGAAAGTAGAGAATTTAGATTTAGTTGGCTGAAGAGAACATCAAGTTACCTATGCCATTTTGATATCTCAGGTCATTTGAAGAATTAATAGAAATGAGTCAACTATCAAGAGTTACCCCAAAATTAAATCACCTGAATTACTCAGTGGGCTAATATCAGGGGCAATATAACTCTCTGGAAGGTGTCTGTTTAACTTAGATCACTGATTTTATAACGCTGATTTTGCAGCATTTTACTATGCTTCTAGTTGTCTCAAGGAATATCACAAAGCTCTTAAAATAAGGCAGGTGGGGAAGAAAACAAAAAAGTTTAAATGACATTTCATTTTAAGAAAATGAAAAATATTGATAAATTGTAAAGAAAAATAAGAGATGATGTTGCAAATCTAAATCATTTGTTTATCACTAATGTAAGCTGTCTAAATGAGGAGTTTGCAAGCTATTGTCTATGGGTCAAATCTGGCCCACTGCCTATTTTTTGTAAACAAAATTTTATCGGAACACAGCCAGTTCATTCATTTACATCTTGTTTATAACTACTTTCCTGCTATTATAGCAGAGTTGAGTAGTTATGGCAGAGAATGTATGGCCCACAGAGACTAAAATATTTACTATCTGTCCCATTGCAAAAAAAAAAAAAAATTGCTCATTCCTGGTTTAAATTAAGACTAGACCAAAAACCACAGAGATGATAAATGACTTCTCTCTGAGCCAAAGTTATAGTTGAAGCTATCAAGTCCACAGACAACCTAGACTCATGGACCTAGGATTTTAATCTGCAGAAACATTAAAATACTCCTGTTTCCCAGGTCCCCCATGTTTGCTATAGTGACAACCTTTGTTTTCTTCTCGACTGCTAAGAGAACATCATGCATCGAGTATACTTCACCTTCGCTTGCCAGGCATTCACACGTCCCTGAGCATTAAGACGGGCACGGAAGGGTTCCCAGTAATCTCCCCACCAAGATTTTTTAAATGAAGAAGCCGTGATTTGCTTGTTTTCTATCTTTCCACTTTCCATACCCAGTGGTGTAGAACATCCTATCAAAAGAAGAGTAATGTGATTAACTACACACCAATATTCCCTGCATGACATTTTGCACTGCAGAGGAGATAAGAAATAATATGACTAACAAGTAATGACAAAAACAAGAATCACGACAGTGAAGATTTATTGAATCCAAGTGCCAAATACTGTTCTCAGGCTTTACATGTATTATTTAATGCTCATAAATGTCTCCACTTTAGTACAGCGTAACACAGGAACTTGTCTAAGGTAACACAGCCAGAAGAATCAGGAACTGATTTGAGCTCAGACAATCTGATACCAAATACCATATTCTAAACACTGAAACTCACTTCCTCCTTTTGAGAGTCATGGAAACTTTGGTCTTTGCTTTGAGGTGCCAATAATCCTAAACTATCCACATATAAAAAAAAAAAACAACACTCTGTTTCTTCTAATAAAATTTACAAAGAAGATACAATGGACCCTCAGTCACTATTTTGTATTTTCTGTTTCAATCCTTAGAGGGGAATTCAAGCTATATATCCTTTGGAATTTTTCCAAGGTATAATTTGAATATCATAGGCAGCAAGGTAGACCTGTGACTGTAAGAAATACAGCTAGTGAGTGAAACTGGCTGACTGCCCACTACTTCTGTGACACTTTGTTCTTGCTAGTAAATCATGCAGAAATATTCTTGAAGTTGATGCCTTACTTTTTCCATGAAAAAAAGAGCCCTAAAAATAACACCCACTGCCAATAATTACCTAAGTATAAAGAAAATGAGTAAGAAGAAACTAATCCTTCTTGTATATAAAAAAATTGATGTTTTAAATAAACAGAGTTGAATGTCACATTTTAGGGTAGTTTATTAGGATCTGAACAAATCCACCATTTATACTATATGGAAAGAAAAAAACACAATGACTTATGGAACTGTTTCAAGGAGTGGTCCTGCCAATGTGAGATTTGTGTTTTATTTGGGAGACATTATAGAGTACTGCTATCTGGACATTGGCAAAATACCCTTATCCATCTAAGGATATATTATCTGCTTCAATAAGAAACTGATTCCAGGATTCAACTACTTTCTCCAACATGAATCATGGCTTCTTCTCTCCACCCTAAGGGAAGTATTGCAGCTCCCAACAGGTGTGCTGCAGCAGGTTTCTGGTGTGCCTATTTATTGATTCCTCATCTTACCTCCAGCCCCTGAGTAGCCAAGTGGAGCCTGGATCAGCCAAGCCCTAGATTTATTGCTTCATTCGTTTATCTCAGAATTCCAGGCAGATATTATTTTCTTTGTGTGCTTTGAAGTAAAAAAATATTGGAAAGCACTGTTTTAAGAGTCCAAGAAGAACAGTTAAGACTCTTAAACATCCTTGTTATATACAGTAGAATTTTATTATGACCATTTATGATTACCTAGATTTATTTATATCACAGGTCACATTACAGCCCCTGAGAAATAACAGCTAACATAGAAAATACTTGAGTATCTGCATAGGGTATGAAAGAAAATATAAAGAAGAATCATGGTTTCAGGAAGTTGGGAAGCCAACTAAGATTTCAAAAACACTCATTGAACACCACACATACAGTAGTGATGTTGCCAGATACTGTCATGAAGTTGAGGTCTGAATAACCTAGAGGACTTTGGAAGAATCAGGCCTAGTTTGAATCTCAGGTAGGTCTTATTGAAAATGGGCCTCTCCAAGGGCCCTTCCTTGGAGAATTGTGATGTGTCTATATAATCCAGGTACTTTCTTCAGAGAGATACTGTCTGCCCTCTGACTGGCAGAACCAGTCTTGGTCTAGGTCACACTGAGAGTTTACCTGAGTAGAAGCTCTGTTTCATGAAGTTTCTCCCAGAAGCCTAAATCACTAAAGAGAACTAAAAATTCTACTCATTCTCCTATACCACCCAAATCTTGATTCTTTGAGTGGCAGTGAGAAAATAATGCATCTTTGTACCTTACCGTTTACCTCACAACCTTGCAGCTCCAGTCGAAGGGTAGGTCTGTTATAGGCTCGAGTTGGAGAGATCCTAATATATCTAGCCACAATAGGTGGGTCAAACTGATTCTCTTTTATTGTAGAAGCATCTGAATTGCCATTGAAATACTAGAAGGAAAGAAGAGGGTTTGGTTATTTTAATTATCTGTAATTATCTGTAAAGTGACTTTATAATAAAATGTTGATCTAATTTAATATTGTAATATTATATTTTCAAGGGGCCTGAACTAAATCAATTTGGTCATAAAATATACTTGGAGATAATTACACTTCCAGGAAGATTGTATATATGTACTTTGCCCTATTCCTTCTGCTAAGTACAACTAAAACCTCTGGACATTATAGCTAAGACAAACATAAGAAGACCCTGAAAAGATCTCAGAAGGCAGACTGGCTAGGGTTCTCAGAAGGAACAAAATGGTGATGGGTGTTCTGAGTTTTCTTTTTGCCTCATAAATCCCAGACTTAGAGATGAAGAAGCCGGCAACCTGGAAACATCATTGAGTATAGACCGAAAAAGCCCGAACAAAGTCTGCTTTCTCTGACCAAAGTACCAGAAAAGGGCAGCCTAGTGAGAGATAATAGAAAACTTGTGGACACTGACTTATCTCCTTTAGCCAACACCACAGAAAAACTTGGGGCCCCTCCCCAGCCCACAACAGCAAAGGCTGAGTGGGGAACCTAGACTTCTTTGCTCATGAGGCTAAAGAGGGAGGCACACCATCACCTTCATTGGGGTTGTGTCAGAAAAGGCCATGTAGGGATTCAGGACTTTCATCTCCAGCCCCTAATGAAGCTCCTGCCTCAGGTTTTTGCAGGTTTGGCCTGTAAGTGTCAGTGGAGGCCAAATGGAGAACTCTCCTTTCCACCCAGCCACAAAGAAACAATCCCCTCTTAGGTGGCAATGGAGTGAGGAATCTGGACTTTGACTCCCACCTGGCAGTAACCAAGCTCTGCCCTATGCCTTTTTCTGCCAGAGCGATGTCAGGAAAAGCCAATTTGAAAAAAAAAACAACCACAGATAAAGCAGAGCTGGTTCTGTGAGAACTTTTTTTAAACTGACAAATCTCTAGCAAGATTCACAAAAAAAGAAAAGAGGTACAGATGACAATATCAGAGATGAAATAGGCAAAGTTACTACAGATGTGAAAACTATAATAAGGGAATACTACAAACAGTTCTACACACATAAACTTAACAACGTAGAGGGAATTGACCAATTAATTGAAGTATACAAAGTATTTTAATTCACCCAATATGACACAGATAATTTGAATAGCCCTGTAACTATTTAAAACATAGAATTTATAATTTAAAAACTGCCCAAAAAGAAATCTGCAGGCCCAGATGATTTCACTGGTGATTCCTATCAATTATTTAAATAATTAATGCCAATTGCAGACATTCTTTTCTAGAATGTAGAAAAGAGCATGCTTACCAATAACTGTGGTATCCAGAACAGAAAAAGACAATTTAAAAAAAACTATATACCAGTATCCTCTCATGAACATAGATGCAAAAATCTTTATTCTATGGGCTCAACTGCAATCTGTGTTTTCTCTCATAATACTGATTAGTAAGAACCATAATTTAGGATTTCAATGGTTTGTTCTGAGACATATTATAATAATTATTAAAAAGAGGTAACTAATAATATAGTAAAATAGTAAAAAATTTATGTAAAATATAAGCAGAAACAGATTCAAGTTTATCAGTATAATAATGGAAGGCAGACTCCTTGCATTCAGATAGGTTTCTTGGGGGAAGGGAGTAGGAAGGAGGGGAAGAGTTAAGCCTTCTGGCCAAGCCCCTGGAAGATCTAGCAGGAGGATATCATTCCTCAGGCATGGCCCCCCTAAAAGTCTGAGAATCACACTGCCTCAAAGGATTACTAGCATTAACACTACTATTTACTTCAGGTACACTGAAATAAAGAACAAAACAAAATACAATAGTAAAATTAAAAGTCTTGGTAGCCAATTTTTAGCATGAGCTTCTTGAGGCACAAGACCAGATGTTCTACTCTGCCATATACCATCGGCCAGTCAGAGAAATCTGGGTATTTTGTTTGATGATAGAATGATTTTTTTGAAGTTTTGTGGAGTTTTGAAGTTTCACTAAACCTGCTTCTCTAATTCATAAGACACAGACCCATCATATTAATGCTTTACTCCATATGACCCTTAGAAAGCCATTCACATTTCTAACAGCCAGGAAGGTATTTTAAAAAATACATAAACATTAGGCATAGTCATAATAACCCTAGGCTGAGTCTAGGGATTCAGATAGAAATATGCACACAAACCATCACATTCCTTGTGCTGTTCCCTTTGAAGATCTGCCAGTTGATCTGGTTGGAACTGTAAGCTACATAGAACTCTGTGGTATAGCAGGACTTCAGGTAGTGTTTGGCACCTTGGGTCTGGATCCCTGTGATTAAGACTTCCTTTTGCATGTCCACCTGCCATATAGGAAAGCCAGTAAACAGAATTGTCCTTGTCAACAAGTCACATACTGCCTAACTTCATAATACAATCAGCTTTCTTCAGCACTAAAGAGCCAGCACCTAAGATCTTAGCAAACTGATACAATGACTACACACAATCCATATTTGGGCGCAGAGTACCTAGATCTGAATCCCAATTCAATGACTAATTAGCTATGTATTATTTTGGGAAAGTAGTTAGTATCTCTGTGCCTTGGTTTTTTTTTCTTTTAACTTTAAAACAAGATATTATTAAAACCAACCTCAGAGAGTTGATTTTAAGAACCTAAAGTACTTAGAATAGTGCCTAGCCACTTTGTACTGGCTATTTCCCCTAACAACATTGCAAGAATGGTCACAAGAAGGAATTACTAAATCACTTTCATTTTTATTATTACAACAGCGGTAAATATTATCAGTCTATTAAGACAAACCTGGATCCAAGGTTTAGAGGCAAATTCTGCTGCAAGTTTTTCTGTACTCCAAGCGTTATAAGATCCACCATTGTTTAATCTTGCTAATCTGGGCTCCCAGTAACCTAAATTCAGTGAAGAAAAGGTTTATTCTGGATTTTTTTAAAAAACACTCAGCAATTTCTTGAGTGAGTTTAATCCAGTGGAAAAACAGATCCTTGGAGGGCCTGTGTTGTAGTCAGGAGTCTAGGCGTGGACCTTAGCTACTAAGCCAGTCCTTGATGATGAAATCTGGACTTCAGGTCTGTGTTTGGTCAGCTGTCAACCACCACCTAGCCCCTTTCTTGCACACAGGTCATGTTTGTTTTTTTTCTGTTATGTTGATGTGCCTAATGCTGAATGTGCCTGTCTAACAGGAAGACATGGAAGGGGTATATGGGAGCCTCATCATCCTCTTGGTCATGACTTCTTGATCTTGGGAAGAGCTTTGAGGCAATGTGAGAAAACTTTGGAGGCATTCCTAACACATAGTGGGGGTTCAACAAAGTTTTCTGAATATATGAGTGGTTGCCACAGGCAAAGGGCCATATTAATGGGGATTATAATATTTCGCTGATAAGACCCTGTTATTCTGGCTGAAATATGTGTGTGGTCAAAACCAGAAAAGGTGACTGAGGAGAGTTTTGGAAATGGGCACATGGTCAAAAGAGTAAGCTATCTAATCTTTGCCAAATCCCCTCAGAGAAGCTGGGCTCCTTATGTAGAGAAATCAATGACCTCCAGCTGTCAGTTTTTCCTGGAAAAGACTTTTTGGGAACATTATACACTAACAGGTCTTTAGCTGCTGCCATAGTGTTCCTTCCTCTACCAGATGAGTACCCCAAATGAAGCTGCTTCACTATATTGCAGGAGAGAAAAGCACAAGGTGAAGAACTGATGCATAGATAGGGTTGTCATGTATGGTTTCACAGGCTGCATGCTGCACAGTTGTAGGAGGTACCATTCATATGCCATGGTGCTACAACTTACCCAGGAACTCTGAAGCCTTGATCTGTGAATCAGATATGATACCAGTGCTTAGTCCCATTGGCATCTTACATTCTATGAAAAACAGAAAAAATGAATACTTTTTGCTTAGAAAATAGATATAATAAAGTAAAACTCCATGGTTACAGGTTATGTCTCTGATAGGTCAGGTAATTACCTATTTTTACCTACCTTGTGTGGCACTGACTTAAATATATCTGATTATAAAATGGTAAATGCACTAACAAGACTGCTGCATTAATAGATACAGTGGCATCCTAGAAGAAAACAACTGAAATCCTGAAATTTGATTGATTTTTAAACTCATTTTCTTCTACTTTTATCTTAAATTATGCTATTTTATAACATTAAGTACTATCCATGGCCAGATGCAGTGGCTCATGCCTGTAATCCTAGTACTCTGGGAGGCCAAGGTGGGAGGATTACTTGAGGTCAGGTGTTTGAGACCATTTTGGGCAACCTCTTCTCTACAAAAAAAAAAAAAAAAAAAAAGTTCCATCCCTCATGAGACTATGTACTTTAAAGTTGACCTCAAAGTCACAACGTTATTTATATCAAGGAAGGGATACCAGCCACCGTGCTACCTGGATGTTGGCACAATGCTTCATACTCAGTGGGTGCTTAGTAATGGTTTAAAGAATGGATGAATAGATGGACAGATGAAAACTGTGTTTCCTAAATGCTGAAATGCCGAGTTTAGTGACTATCTCAGTCATTGTTAAATTCCTGTTACATTTTCCCTCCTTAACTCTTGGAACCTGGAGAATTTCTTACACGTACTTTCCCATGGATCACAAATCATGAAGGGCACTTTACATATGTTTCCCAATTGAGAGGAATGCTTTTGAACTGACTGATGTGTTTTCAATGCAATCCAGACCATGGGCCAGAATAAAAGCAACTATGGCTACAAATTATGCCTTTGTCACATCGGGGTTCTTAGAGTTGAATTTGGGGTACCAGGTGAGTTTCCAGTCTAAAAGTTGGCAATATTCTAGTGATAGGCACTCTCCTGCTTAAAAAAAAAAAAAAATCACATGGCTCTTGTGATACCTCTGTCCATGATAAGAAATGGTGTTTGCATCCCTGCTCTCTGGTTTTCTCCAACCTCTGTGTTTAGGAGCCACCAGCCAGGTTTTGATGCCTTCATTTCAAGAGTTTTAAATGAACCTAAAATAAAAAGTTAAGAACAACATTACATATGTAAAAATTAACAAGATAATATTGAGGTTGATAGTTATCTAAGAATCCTAAAATTCCTGCTTCACAAGAGACTTTCAAATAGAATTTAACCATTTTTCTTTAGGTAGGACTACAAGTATATCAGATAGAAACAAAACAGTAACAAGTAGAGATAACTAAAAAAAAAAAATTTAAATCTCTACCACATCTCACTAGAATAAACTTTCACTTATTTAAATATAATGTTACAAGTCAACTCACATACAATACAGCTTCACAGTCCTAAGTATCAAAGTGATCTTGAGTGATATCACTGGGCCTCAAAAATATCCTTCGTTTCATTTCCCTCTCTTCATTTTGCATTTTTTTTTTTTTTTTTTTTTTTTTGAGACGGAGTTTCGCTCTTGTTACCCTGGCTGGAGTGCAATGGCACAATCTCGGCTCACCGCAACCTCCGCCTCCTGGGTTCAGGCAATTCTCCTGCCTCAGCCTCCTGAGTAGCTGGGATTACAGGCACACGCCACCATGCCCAGCTAATTTTTTTTGTATTTTTAGTAGAGACGGGGTTTCACCATGTTGACCAGGATGGTCTTGATCTCTTGACCTCGTGATCCACCCGCCTCAGCCTCCCAAAGTGCTGGGATTACAGGTTTGAGCCACCGCGCCCGGCCCATTTTTCTCTTTTTTATGTAAGAAAATCAAAATAAAACCTTCTTTCTCCATGTTTTCAAATTTTCCATAAAGCTTACATATTTGAATAGAGATTTTAAAAGTATCATACATGTTTCCCTCTCTTCATTTTGCTTTTTTATTTTTTATATATAGGAAAATCAAAATAAAACCTCCTTCCTCGATGTTTTCAAATTTTCCATAAAACTTACATATTTGAATAGAGAGTTGCATAAATTGTTCACAGAAAAAAACGCTGAGAGAATGAGATTTCTAAAACCTCTGGCTATCCATTCTGGTATTTAATATTACCCCCGGCAGTTAATATTTAAATTCTGTTGACTGTAATTTATTACTGTTTCCCAGATTGTGGGTGAAAATGAATAGATATGGTTATCTTCCTCAAACATAATGAAAAAGATCTCCAGTTTTCCTCTCTCCAGTACAGGTATTCAGGTTTGCAGAATCAGAGCTGCCAGTCAATCCTTGCTTCTCAGTCTGTCTGCAGGCTCATGGGAAGGATGACTGACTGATCTGCTAATACTTGGTGAAAAGATGAATGAATCTGACTGAATCTCCTCTGTCTCTGATATTAATACAGCAGGTCTCTCTAGATGTATTAGTGAGTTACTGGCATGTGAAAAACCAACAAGAATCCTCTTTTTTTTCCCTGCTCTTAACCAAACTAGTCCATATGGACTTCTGTGCCTGCATCTGAGGCAGATTCACAGAACTTCCTCACCCAAAGTGCCATTGAGGGACTGCCTTCACTAGATCCTCAGGCAGCATGTGTTAGGTTGGTGCAAATTGTAATTGCAGTTTTTGCCATTACTTTTAATAGAAGGCAAAATAGAAGGAAGCTCTAAATAACTTTGTTATTCTTTAATAAACAAATACCTTTGTTATTCATTTTATTTTAAAAAAAGTAATTATTTGAAAAAACTTTTTCCTCTTTAAGCAGCCTATAAGTCTGTTTCAAAATATGATTCCTGGAGTCACTTGCCCAAAGATACTAGGGTGACAGAGCCTATAGGAGGAGCAGAACTGAAGAATCTGGAAACTTTCCCAGCAGAGATAACTATAGCTGCCTGAGCCCTGTGGGATTCATTTTTTCATCTGCTTGAGACCTTCTCTGCATAACATACAGTGGCTTGGGAGAACCTGCATATTATATAGCATCTCTGTAGAACAAAGTTGGGTCACACAATTAGCCTGTGTGGTGCTGCAAATAGTTCATAAATTAGATGATATTTTTGTATTCCATCTACACTTCGGGTCTATGGCTTTGCCTAGGCTCTATGCCAGAACCACTGTGTTCTGATCCATTAGGAAATATATGCACAAGGAGGAAATGAGGGGTAATGAGTGCCTTTTCCGTGTATTTCTTAGCAGGGACCTCTTTCCATTACCCAATCATTACCGGGCAGAAGGGGCCAGACCCCTAACTGGTGCTGTTTATTGCCATTTTCCAGCAAGGTCTGGCCATGAAAGTGAACCACGTGAATGTCTTGAGAGCCGCCTATGTTCAGCAGGTGTAACCTCACCCATTCTTGCTCATACATTCTCAGACCAGGCAAGCTGTAGATCCTCCCATTAATGGCTGAAAGGACAAAGAGTTGCAGTCAATTAGAAATCTGTTGACACCGAGAGGGCAACTGGCAAGGAAATATGAGGCACCCCACTCAACACCTGTCTTCCTCATGATTCTGCATTCCCAGGCCTACCCAGCCATGGAAAGGGCCCTCCTGTATGTCATATCAGTGAGAGGCTGAAGCAGACCCACCGGTCTTCATATCATTCACACCAGCCTACAGCAGAAGTCGGGGGAAGCTCCCTTTCAAAGCAGTTCATTACTCTTTTCCCCAGCTTTTACACTCTGTGCTTTACCCATTTACTCTTTCCATTAACAGTCTGAATTTTCCTTAACTACAAAAAGATAAACATGAATATGGGCAGACAAAGTAAACCCTGGGGTTAGAGTCAGTAAGGAGACACGTAGCATGTCACCTTAAAGCCTTCTAAATGCGGAGAAAGTTTCAGTTTATAAAATTAGGAGTTTATCATTGGTGTACCCAGCAACCATAGCAAGTCATGTTTATTCTCTCATTGGTATGATAACTCCTCTGCCCACTTCTCAGATTAGATGTTTAGGGTTCTTAGGCTTTATCTACTCTTCCTGTAATACAATATGTGGATTTTTTAAAATTTCTGAGAAACCTGATCACCTCAAAAATGTAACACAAAATTTTAAAGACAGAGTATGGTACAAACAAACATTAACTGGAACCGAAGTAAGGGAAGTGCTTTGTTTCCTTCTTCTTAAGTTAAAGGAACTGCTGTAAAATTTCAGAAAGCAGGCAAATGATTTTTTGGAAAGGGAGAGGTTGAGGTCACTTGGGCACCCTTAAAATTATATCAGGTATGAGAACACCTATCTACATACTCATAACACAAGCTCATACCTTTCTCATCTCAGTTTCTGTTTCAGTTTCTAGCTTACAGGGCAAATTTCTCAGTGAATTTCCAAGTAGGCACACTTTTCCCAGTGTGACCACCCAAATGCTCTCTTGCCACTATTCTCCTATTACTTGGGCACCTAGCTTCCTGTCTCACCTGGTAGCTGCTGAGAGCTAAAACTATTAGAACCATTCTTGGTCTTTTCTTTTATATAAACACTTGTGCCTTTAGAGATCCAGAAACCAGCTTATTAACTTTCTAAATTGCAGAACAATGTTAATTCCTTTTCAATATATGTTACCAACTGAAGCACACTGGCTTTTTGTTGTTGTTTCCTGCTGTTTTGCAGCACCTTCTCTGCGCTATCTTTCAGACTTTCTCTTTTTGCCTCACCCACAGTGTCACCTGCTAGATTACGTCAGCCCTCTGGGATGTGAAGGAACTGGTTTTAGTTGTAGCACCAGGTATCTCAGAAGCATCTCATGTGTAATCTTGTGAAGATCTAAGGGCAGGAATCACTGTGATCAGTGTAATTTAATTAGTTCGAGGAAAATACCAGGAAACTCATGGGAGTTTTTCACTTCTGTGGCTGTGAGTCTCCAAGACATTCTGGACTTCTTTTCATAGTACCAGCTCTTCTTTTCATCAAAGATCATAAATAGTAAGACAAATTCTCTCATGTCCACAGGCATGTTGCTCTCCTTATGAAGTATTCCTTTCTGGCAGATTAGGAGGGGACCTATCAAGCCCGAGTGAATATCTTTTTCCTAGAAAACAGAGTAAATTGTTTGTATTGTCCTTTTCTCAGGAATTTCTTTGCTTTTCTGATAATCACTGATCATATAGAAAAGAACAGTTTCTGATAGGTTCTAAATTTGAAGATGAAGATTATAAATGAATGGCTTAATAAGCCTGGATATTTATCACCTAATTCTGTTGTATCCATAATCCTCCTTCCTCTGATAGATCCTTATTCCAGTAAAAATGATTATAATAATATTGATAATATAAGGGATACTATTTATTGGGAATCTACTATTATGTTCAATGATTTGTCTGCAATCTCTCATTTAATCCTGACAATTATCTTATATGGTAAATATAAATTCATTCATTGAACAAATACTTACCAAGTGCTTACCGTATACTGCATACTATTACCTCATTTTTAACTTCTGATACCAGGCTAAGACAGGTCAAGGAATTTCCTAGGATTACGCATTAAGTGACAGGGTAAAAATTTAAATCTGAATCTGTGTTCTTTCTACTATGCCTGAAATGAAGGAGTCGTTTTTCTTTTTAATGCATGTACAACATATTGTTTTGAAGTGTGTATACAGTGCAGAATGTTAGATGAAGGAGTCTTGACATTGCATTTCTTTTCATAAAGAGAGCAAAAGATAGCTAACACTTGTTCAAGAAAATTTCAAATGAATGCCATCTTCTGTAAATGTAGGCAATCTGATTCATGGCCAATCATTCAAGTAATCCTCCCTCCTCTCCACTGAATAAATGTTTCTCTCTCTGTCATCGAAGAGCTACATGGAGAGTTCCTGGTTATGATAAATGTAGACTGCTAACCATACCCTTACATATTCCTCATGAAAAGCAAGACAGACATTTAGCAAGAAATAACCCTGACTCTTCTATTTCGTGGACTCAGATTACGACATTAGGGAAATGAGAAAAATTTTCAATGAAAGTACCTACTGGGTTCACAGCTGAGTAGTAAGTCCAAGCCCGACAGGCAGAGCCAGGACTTTCTGGCCCCGATCGCTCAGTGGCATGCCATACATAGGTATAACTGCTGTTTGGCTGAACAGCATTATCGTCCTGAAACCATGCAGGAGAGTCATCTTCATAAGTCTTTCCCTCTGATGATTTTTCATAGGAAAGTCCATGGGCATGTAGAGAATATGGTCTGGATGCTAAATTTTTAAAACGAACCTAGAAAAAGGAACGATCCACGAGTATACTTAAGCATAGCAAAATCTAAACTAAAAAATTTCAGCATTATAGCTCAAATTGGCTGTTTATAAAGCCAGAGTTAAGACATAAGGTACAAAATAACTTATGTATATTATTTCATTTAATTTTTACAACCATCCTGTGAGATATGGCCCAAGTAGTTTTCTCCAGAAATACCAAAACATGTTTGTTCTTGGGCTCAAGGCAAAAGTATCAACATTATGTACTAATGAAATGAGAGTGATAGGTAATGGAGATGTGAAGATTAACAATGCTTGATCTTGTTCATAAGCTTTTAAGCTACTGGTAAAGAAAGACATGCACATGGGCATCCACACTACAAATCTAGAGGCAACAGGTGCTAGTTACAAAGTCTAAATGGGTTCAGATGACAATGTGCTGGAGGAACAATTTGGTTGAATATTTAGGAGAGGTTGGAACAATTATGGTAAGTGTCTTAGAGGAAATGGAATTGGCCATCATAGAATGAACAGTTCAGCAGAGGGAGAAAGGAATTTCCGACTCCCAGAAGGGCAGAAGGATGCCTGTGTGCAGGGGAGTAAAGGAAGAGTTCAGGGAATAGTAAGGATCTGGGTGGGGCTGGGCTGTAAAATGCACAAGGAAGGTAGAACCTGGTGAGAAATGAGGCTGGAAAAGGACTAGCTTAGGGCCAGATGGTAAAGGATTTAAATGCCATGTGAGAAGTCTTCACACCTGTGAAGTCAGACCTGTGAAGCTCCTCCCAGACCTTCTATAACTTTTTTTTTTTTTTTTTTTTGGAGACAGAGTCTTGCCCTGTCATCCAGGCTGGAGTGCAATAGAGTGATCTTGGCTCACTGCAACTTCTGCCTCCCGGGTTCAAGCTATTCTCCTGCCTCAGCCTCCCAAGTATCTGGGATTATAAGCACGTGTCACCATGCCCAGCTAATTTTTGTATCTTTATTAGAGACAGGGTTTCACCATGTTGCCTAGGCTGGTCTCAAAATCCTAACCTATGATCTGCCCACCTTGGCCTCCCAAAGTGCCTGGGATTACAGGCTTGAGTCACTGTGCCCGGCCCCCCTTCTATAACTTCTAGTGATTAAAGACCCCGTAATTGTCTTTTTCTTATTTTATTCTACAAAGCCAGCATCACCCTAATAACAAAACCTGGCAAAGGCACAATGAATAATGAAAACTACCTGGCCAATGTCTCTGAGATACATAGACACAAAAATCTTCAATGAAATACTGGAAAACCAAATCCAGCAGCACATTAAAAGTTAATTAATCACAATCACGTAGGCTTCATTCCTAAGATGCAAACTGGCTCAACATATGCAAATCAATAAATGTTATTCACCAAATAAACTGAATTAAAAACAAAAGCCATATTATCTCAATAGACATGGAAAAAGCTTTTGATAAAATCTAACATACCTTCATGATAAAAAACCTTCAACAAACTAAACATTGAAGGAACATACTTCAAAAATATTAGAGCCATCTATGACAAACCCACAGCCAACATCACACTGAATGAGCAAAAGCTGGAAGCCTTCCCTGTGAGAACTGGAACAAGACATGGATGCCCACTCTCATCACTCCTATTCAACATAGTACTGGAAATTCTAGTAACAGCAATAAAGCAAGAAAATAAAATAGAAGGCATCCAAATAAGAAAAGAAGTTAAACTATCTCTCTTCATTGGCAATATGATTCTATACCTAACCCTGAAGACTCCATGGAAAGGCTCCAGGAACTGATAAATGACTTCAGTAAAGTTTCAGGATGCAAGATCAATGTACTAAATCAATTACACAAAATAGAATGTACAAATGTACAAAATAGCATTTCTATACATCAGTAATTTTTCAAACTGAGAGCAAAATCAAGAATGCAATCCCATTAACAATAGACACACACACACACACACACACACAGATGCACACACACACACACACACACACACACACAAATACCTTAGGAATACATCTAACCAAAGAGGTAAAAGATCTCTATAAGGGGAATTTACAAAACACTGATGAAAGAAATCATAGATGACACAAACAAATAGAAAAACATTCTGTGCTCATATATTGGAAGAATCGGAATTGTTAAAATAGCCATATTATGCTCAAAGCAATCTACAGATTCAACACTATTTTTAATGAGCTACTAATACCATTTTCCTCAAGATTAGAAAAAACTATTCTGAAATTCATATGGAACCAAAAAAATCCTGAATAGCCAAAGCAATCCTAAGCCAAAAGAACAAATCTGGAGGTATCACATTACCTAAATGGAAACTATAGTATAAAGCTACAGTACCAAAACAGCATGCTACTGGTACAAAAACAGACACATAGACCAATGGAACAGAATAGAGAACCCAGAAATAAAGCCACATACTTACAATCACCTGAACTTTGACAAAGTCACAAAAGCAATGGGGAAAGGACTTCTATTTAATAAATGGTGCTGGAATAACTGGCTACCTGTATATGGAAGAATGAAAGTGAACCCCTACCTTTTATCATATATAAAAATTAACTCAAGATGGATTAAAGATTTAAATATAAGACCTCAAACTATAAGAATCCTAGAAGAAAACCTAGCAAACATCATTTTGGATATCAGCCTTGGGAAAGAATTTATGACTAATTCCTCAAAAGCATTTCAACAAAAGCAAAAATTGACATGTTAAAGAGCTTTTGCTCAGAAAAGAAGCGATCTATAGAGTGAACAGACACAGAATAGGAAAAAATATTCACAAAGTATGTATTTGACAAGGTCTAATATCCAGAATCTATAGGATAAACAATTAAATAAGCAAAAAACAACCCCATTAAAAAGTGGACAAAAGACATGAACAGAAACTTCTCAAAATAAGACATACAAATAGCCAAAAAACATGAAAAAAAAATGCTCAGCATCACTAATCAGAGAAATGCAAATCAATACCACAATGAAATACCATCTCACACCAGTCAGAATGGCTATTAGTAAAAAGTCAAAAAATAGATGCTGGTGAGGGTGTGAAGAAAAGGGAATGCTTATATACCATTGCTTAGAATGCAAATTAGCCACTGTGGAAAGAAGTTTCCCAAAGAATTTAAATGGAACTGCTATTTGACCTAGCAATTCTATTACTGGGTATATATAGCCAAAAGAAAATAAATTGTTAACACAGCAAGGTGGCTCATGCCTGTAATCCTAGCACTTTGGGAGGCTGAGGCAGGTGGATCGCCTGAGGTCAGGAGTTTGAGACCAGCCTGGCCAATGTGGTAAAACCCTGTCTCTACTAAAAATACAAAAATTAGTCCAGCATGGTGGTGGGCACCTGTAATCCCAGCTACTTGGGAGGCTGAAGCAGGAGAATTGCTTAAACCTGGGATGCGGAGGTTGCAGTGAGTCTAGATCACACCTCTGCACTCCATCCTGGGTGACAAAGTGAGACTCCATCCCAAAAAAAAAAAAAAAAAAAGGAATACATTATTCTACCAAAAAGACACATGTACTAGGATGTTCATCACAGTATTATTCACAGTAGCAAAGACATGGAATCAACCTAGGTGCCCATCAGTGGTGGATTGGATAAAGAAAATATGGTACATATGCACCATGGAATACTATGCAGCCATGAAAAAGATTGAAATCATATCCTTTGCAACAACATGGATGCATCTAGAGGCTATTATGCTAAGTGAATTAATGCAGAAACAGATAACTAAATACTGCATGTTCTTTTGTATAAGTGGGAGCTAAACATTGGGTATTTACAGACAAAAAGATGGCAACAATAAACACTGGGGACTACTAGAGGGGAGAGGGAGGGAGACGGACAAGGGCTAAAACACTATCTATTGGGTACTATACAGCACTACTTGGGCGATGGGATCAATCATACGCTAAACAGCATCACACAATATACCCAGATAACAAACCTGCACATGTCCCCTGAATCTAAAATAAAAGTTAAAATTATTTTTAAAATACACAGTTATTTGTATCTAGTCAAATCCTGGGCTAAAACAAAGATTCCATATTTGATTTTTTTTTTCCTTTTGTCTAAGGCTCCAATATGACTCAATGCAACATTGTTACTGATCCTGTCTTTATTCACAATTGTGATGTATTGTTTATTATGGCTTTCTTATATTAATTTTGATTTTTAAATTTTTAAAACATTTTCAGTTGCTTTAGGGATACAAGTGGTTTTGGGTTACATGGATGAATTGTATAGTGGTAGAGTCTAGGATTTTAGTGAACCTGTCACCTGAGTACTGTAGCTTGTATCCAATAGGTAGCTTTTCATCCACCCCTGTTCTCTTTTGAGTATCCAATGTCCATTATACCAGTCTGTCTGCCTTTGCATACCTATAGTTTAGCTCCCATTTATAAGTGAGCACATGCAGTATCTGGTTTTTGGTTCCTGAGTTACTTCAACTTGGAAAAAGATTTTTAAATCTATTGTTAAATTATTGTTTGTCTTGAAAAAGACCCCCTAATCATACGAGAGAGAGAATATTGCTTCCCATAGCTTCATGGAAAATTTAGAATAATTAAGATTCTTATATTCCTATGTACTTACATTTTTAAAAAGAACAAATGGTCACTGAAAATTTTGTGAATGCTTACACAGACATAGTAGATCATATGTTTGAATACAGATTAGCTTACTTTAGAATCAGAGGTCTTTCTGGGTTTTTGAACATGAGAGGTTAGAAAAAATGGTGGAACTATGGAACAGAACAGAGGCTTCAGAAATAACACCACACATCTACAACCATCTGATCTTTGACAAACCTGACAAAAACAAGCAATGGGGAAAGGATTTCCTATTAAATAAATGCTGTTGGGAAAACTGGCTAGCCATATGCTGAAAACTGAAACTGGACCCCTTCCTTATACCTTATACAAAAAATTAACTCAAGATGGATTAAAGACTTAAACATAAGACATAAAACCATAAAAACCCTAGAAGAAAACCTAGGCAATACCATTCAGACATAGGCATGGGCAAAGCCTTCATGACTAAAACACCAAAAGCAATGACAACAAAAGCCAAAAGTGACAAATGGATCTAATTAAACTAAAGAATTTCTGCACAGCAAAAGAAACTATCATCAGAGTGAACATGGCAACCTTTAACATGGGAAAAAATGCAAGCTATCCATCTGACAGAGGGCTAATATCCAGTATCTACAAAGAACTTAAATTTACAAGAAAAAAACAACCCATCAAAAAGTGGGCAAAGGATATGAACAGACACTTCTCAAAAGAAGACATTTATGTGGCCAACAAACATATGAAAAAAAGCTCATCATCACTGGTCATCAGAGAAATGCAAATTAAAACCACAGTGAGATACCATTTCACACCAGTTAAAGTGGTGATCATTAAAAGACATAGCAGATGCTGGAGAGGATGTGGAGAAATAGAAACATTTTTACACTGTTGGTGGGATTGTAAATTAGTTCAACCACTGTAGAAGACAGTGTGGCAATTCCTTAAGGATAAAGAACTAGAAATACCATTTGACTTGGTAATCCCATTACTAGGTATATACCCAAAGGATTATAAATCATTCTACTGTAAAGAGACATGCACACATATGCTTATTGCAACACTGTTCACAATAGCAAAGACTTGCAGCCAACCCAAATGCCCATTGATGATATACTGGATAAAGAAAATGTGGCACATATACACCACGGAATACTATGCAGCCATAAAAAAGAATGAGTTCATGTCCTTTGCAGCAACATGGAGGTAGCTGGAAACCATTATTCTCAAGCAACTAACACAGGAACAGAAAACCAAAAACCGCATGTTCTCAATCATAAGTGGGAGCTGAACAATGAGAACACATGAACACAGGGAGGGGAACGTCACACACTGGGGCCTGTTGGAGAGTCGGGAGCTATGGGAGGAATAGCATTAGGAGAAATACCTAATGTAGATGACGGGTTGATGAGTGCAGCAAACCACCATGGCGCTTGTATACCTATGTAACAAACCTGCACGTTCTGCACGTGTATTCCAAAACTTAAAGTATAATTTAATAAAAATTTAAAAAAAGAAAAAAATGGGGAAAGTAAACTTCCTTACAAAAGTAAGCTATAATCTTGGATCTGGACAAAAGATTTTGAAAGAAATGACTAGGACTAGGAAGATATTTGAAGAAACTTGCTCTCTTTCAGAGGGCATGGAGACATCTTTACTTTCCTTACTCATTTTATTTTACTTCACTTTATGTTTTCAAGAAAACACCAGAAGATATTTCTAAATTACTATTACTGTTAGCACAACTACTGCCACCACAACCACCACCACTGTGGAACCCCATTCAATTGCTTTTGAATATATTAATTTTCTGTGTTAACTTTAGATAGGTTAGCTTTAGATAGAAATTACAGAGAGATTTTCCACAATTACATATTTTTCAGCATTTTTTTAAATAGAAAATTTTTTTTTTAGTCTCAAAGATTGCCAGATTACTTGGCAAACAGTCTATGAAAAGAAATGTAATTATTCATTAATTCTGGAAAATAAACAAATCACCGATAGCTCTCTTGCCACATACATCTTTACAACCCTCTGGTGCTTGTGGAAATTCCTCTAATGATCTTAGCAGTGTTCCAGAGACTTACTTGGATAACATCATCCACTTCAGCTCTGATAATAGGACCAAGAATTCCAAGATGCTCTTCATACTCCCCTTGAGGATCACGTTTGGTAAAACTGCTGTCAAGGTACTTTCGAAAAACCACTTTCTTATATATGGTGTTTTCTGGAGTATTGTCAATGTCTTCAATATCTCTTTCACTGAAACAATAGTATTTGTGTAAAAAAAGAAATTAAAGACTGTTCAAAGAATTTAGGAAATTGTCTCTTTTTCTAGATATAGTATCCAGCATAGAGAAGGTCTTGAATATATACTTGGTGGACAAATGAGTAAATATATAAGTGGATAAAAGCAAAAGCCAGTAAATATCTTTCAACCCCTCACTCAAATATTTTATAGGGAAGTCTTCCTATGACCTTTTAGTCTAGGTCAAGTCTTTCCATATCAACTCCTTATATTTCTATAGTATTATTATATATAGTAAATTCCTGTAGTATTCTTATAATAGTTTTATAGTATATATATTGTAGGTTTTATATATTTGTGAGATTATCTATTAATATCTGACTCTCACTCAATGTAAGTACCATGAGGTCAGTCATTATGCCTAGTTTGCTCATAATATTCTCCAGTGCTAAGCACATTATCTGGCACACAGTAGGAACTTAATTGTCAAACATGTAAATGAATGCAGAAATATAATCATGTTGTTAACACAGCAAATTTTAACAGCAAAGGCAGATAAAGCCATATAAATGGGACAGTGCCAGAGCTTGGGGCTATCATGTGACAATGGTCAGATTAATACAAAGGTCACACTTGTGAAAGTCACTGGATGGATGAATGTTTTATATCCTGAAAGTAGCCACTCTTCTCACTTTTTTCTTTTTTTTTCTTTCTTTTTTTTTTTTTTTTTTTTTGCTAATGTACATTATTCTCAAGTTTCTTGACATTGGTGTGGACAAAGATTGTTTGGATATGACCTCGAAAGCACAGGCAACAGAAGCAGAAATAGACAAATGGGATTGCATCAAACTCAAAAGTTTATGAGGAAAGGAAATAACAGAGTAAAGAGACAACCTATGGAATGAGAGAATATTCTTGAAAACCAGATATCTGATAAGGAATTAATATTAAAAGTATAAGGAACTCAATTCAACAAAAAAAAATTAAAAAGCCTGATTTAAAAAATGAACAAAGATCTTGAATAGACATTTCATAAAAGAAGACATACAAATGACCAAACAATATATGAAAAGATGCTCAACATTTCTAATAATCAGAGAAATGCAATTTAAAATCACAATGAGGGCTCACCTCACACCGTTAGGGTGGCTATTGTAAAAATGATAAGAGATAAATGTTGGCAAGGATGTAAAGAAAAGGGAACTCATGTACACTCTTGGTGAGAATGTAAATTAGTACAGCCATTATGGAAAACAGTATGGGAGGTTCCTTTAAAAATTAAAGAATTACCATATGATCCATCAATCCACTTTTGGGTATATACCCAAAGAAAATGAAATCAGTATGTCGAAGAGATATCTGCTTTCTCATGCTCACTGCAGCATTAGCCACAGTAGCCAAGATATGGAAGCAAGCCAAATGTCTACCAGCAAATGAATTTCTTTCTTTCTTTCTTTCTTTTTTTTTTTTTGAGACAGAGTCTCACTCTGTTGCCAGGCGCCAGGCTGGAGTGCAGTGGCACAATCTGGGCTCACTGCAACCTCCACCTCCCGGGTTCAAGCAATTCTCCTGCCTCAGCCTCCCGAGTAGCTGGAACTACAGGCGCATGCCACCACGCTCAGCTAATTTTTGTATTTTTAATAGAGACGGGGTTTCACCATGTTGGCCAGGATGGTCCCAATCTCTTGACCTCGTGATCCACCAGCCTCAGCCTCCCAAAGTGCTGGGATTACAGGCTTGAGTCACCGTGCCCAGCCATGAATGGATTTCTTAAACGTGATCTACATAAACAATGAAATACTATTTAGCATTTAAAAAAAGAAAAAGAAGAAATGTCATTTGCAACAACATGGCTGAACCAGGAGGTTATTATGTTGACATAAAATAAGCCAGGCACAGAAAGACAAGTACTCAGGTGATCTGCCCTCCTCATGGTGATGGAAACATTCTGTATCTTGACAGTATCAATGTCAGTGTGCTGGTTGTGATATAGTATTATAGATTTGCAAAATGTTACCCCTGGGAGAGCCTGGATGAAGAATACTCAGGATCAGGCGTCCCCAAACTATGGCCCGCGGGCCACATGTGGCCCCCTGAGGCCATTTATCCACCCCCCCGCCACACTTCAGGAAGGGGCACCTCTTTCATTGGTGGTCAGTGAGAGGAGCACAGCATGTGGCGGCCCTCCAACGGTCTGAGGGACAGTGAACTGGCCCCCTGTGTAAAAAGTTTGGGGACGCCTGCTCAGAATACTCAAAGGATCTCTCTGTATTATTTCTCTCAACTATACGTGAATCTATTTTTTAATTCCAAAATAAAAAGTATAATTAAAAATTATAAATAAATAAAGTCATTATTCCCATCTAGCTCACTGGCTCAGTCTAGGGCCAAAGCATGTCAAATTCTCCCACTGACTCTCACATTTCCCAAGCCTGTGGAAACAAGCCAAACACTCATCCATCACACCCATAATATTTGCTATATACCATGAGCCATCAACAGAGAATCTCAATCTGCCTTTCTTCTGGTCTACCTCCCCTACTAATCCCATCTTTCCAGACTCTGAGCATAACATGCAAATTCACAAGACACAAGGGAGTGGGTAAAGCAACTTTGATTGCCATAAAAGTGTGTTGTGAGCCTCCAATGGAATACAAGATTTTGAACGTAGTTCAATTTCTATTCACTCTGGACAGGCCCTACATTCTACTGCTTTGGGGCCTTACTTAGAAATACTCAGATAACTAGTTGTTCTCATATGGTATTGAGTGCAATATTTAAATAGGAATTCATAGGAAAAAGTATTTTAAATGGAGTTCTAATGTGGAGATGTCAGGCATCATATTAATGAACTCATTTGCATAAGTTACACCATACATTGTGTTTGCCTCCTGTAATTACACTTCAGTTTTTTAATTCATTAGTGTAACAGCTTTTGTAAAAGCTATGGGCGATGTCTAGACAGTCGAAGTGCAGTCATCATGCTATATCCCTGAGAATTTGTAGTTAACTAAGCCTTGCTCCTTTCCTCCTCTCTCTTTTTTCTTTCCGTATCTTCATCCCAGAACAAAGAGCCCAGCTCATCATGGCTTTCTACCTCTAAGCAAAACTGAATTGTAAATAATCTTTTTAAAAAAGTGATTTGGATCTCTTAGAAATTCTGACGTAAATAAGTAAATGCAAAAAGGACATGATATTTGGGTTTGGATTTGAGGCTAACTTCAATGAACTCATAATGATTAGCATATAGCTATGGATAGGTTGGGCTCTGCCTGGAGCAAGAAGAGTCAGTAGAAACATGGGTAGTAAGAGGAGAGGACACAGAAGAAGGCTTAATTACGGAATATTATAAAGTTCTCACAGTGACTATTCTTATACTGTCCAGGGCCATTTAAAGTACAGAAGCAGTCTTGGAATTGACAAAGGAAATAGTACAGACCAACTTGCAATAGGGAAACCAAACTGTTCTCAGTATAATTTGCCCAGAATTATCTCCCTGAATTGTTGTAGCTACTTTTTTCAACAGAAATGGAAAAATGAGAATAAAAAGGGAGAAAACTGGCCAAACCGTTGTACAAATTCTGAATAATCCCAGGATATTTCTTCAGCAGCAATGTAATAATTTCTTCTGTTTCCATTGTTGCTGCGGAGGTACCAGGCTGCAATGTTGTCAGGATTTCTGGAGGCGTTGATGTTTGTCCTAACATCAGTTTTGTAGGGGTCATCATAGGACACATAATCCGTTTCAGTATAGTCATCTTCACTGCTCTGGACCTCTTCCCTTGGAATAATCTCAATGTAATCTGTACCATCTTTGCTGAGGCCAACTATAACCAGTGGATTAAATTCCTTCAATAGAAATGTATCATTGAGAGTAGGAGATGAAGGAGATGGCGTGCGACCAAGGTCTGAATAAGGAAAAGTCTCATTAAATTCTGGAATAAGCAATGACTGACTAGATTCAGAAGGGTAGAATATCTGACTGAGGTCTGGAGGAGGTGATATCTGCCTGAGATCAGGGAGAAGGATGGTCTCACTGAGGTCTGGAGAGAGAGTCACCTGGGTGAGGTCTGGGGAAAGGGATACCTCACCAAAGTCTAGGGAAAGGTCTGTCTCACCAAGGTCTGGAGAAAGCATCATCTGGTCGAGGTCTGGGGAAAGGGGAATTTGACTGAGATCTACAAAGAGGGGCATCTCACTGAGTTCTGGAGAGAGGTCTGAAGAGAGATTCATGTGGCTGAGGTCTAGAGAGCGGTTTGTCTCACTGAGTTCTGGAGAGACAGTCGTGTGGCTGAGTTCTGGAGAGAGATTTGTCTGGCTGAGTTCTGGAGAGATAGTCATCTGACTGATGTCTGGAGAAAGAGGGATCTGACCCAGTTCTGGGGAAAGGTTTGTTTGGCTGAGTTCTGGAGAGACAGTCGTCTGACTGATGCCTGGAGAAAGAGGGATCTGACCCAATTCTGGGGAAAGGTTTGTCTGACTGAGTTCTGGAGAGAGGGTCGTCTGACTGATGCCTGGAGAAAGAGGGATCTGACCCAATTCTGGGGAAAGGTTTGTTTGACTGAGTTCTGGAGAGAGGGTCGTCTGACTGATGCCTGGAGAAAGAGGGATCTGACCCAATTCTGGGGAAAGGTTTGTTTGACTGAGTTCTGGAGAGAGGGTCACCTGGCTGAGGTCTGGAGAGAGGTTTGTCTGGCTGAGTTCTGGAGAGAGAGTCGTCTGACTGATGTCTGGAGAAAGAGGGATCTGACCCAATTCTGGGGAAAGGTTTGTCTGACTGAGTTCTGGAGAGAGGGTCACCTGGCTGAGGTCTGGAGAGAGGTTTGTCTGGCTGAGTTCTGGAGAGAGAGTCATCTGACTGATGTCTGGAGAAAGAGGGATCTGACCCAATTCTGGGGAAAGGTTTGTCTGACTGAGTTCTGGAGAGAGGGTCACCTGGCTGAGGTCTGGAGAGAGGTTTGTCTGGCTGAGTTCTGGAGAGAGAGTCGTCTGACTGATGTCTGGAGAAAGAGGGATCTGACCCAGTTCTGGGGAAAGGTTTGTCTGACTGAGTTCTGGAGAGAGGGTCACCTGGCTGAGGTCTGGAGAGAGGTTTGTCTGGCTGAGTTCTGGAGAGAGAGTCGTCTGACTGATGTCTGGAGAAAGAGGGATCTGACCCAATTCTGGGGAAAGGTTTGTATGACTGAGTTCTGGAGAGAGGGTCACCTGGCTGAGGTCTGGAGAGAGGTTTGTCTGGCTGAGTTCTGGAGAGAGAGTCGTCTGACTGATGTCTGGAGAAAGAGGGATCTGACCCAGTTCTGGGGAAAGGTTTGTCTGACTGAGTTCTGGAGAGAGGGTCACCTGGCTGAGGTCTGGAGAGAGGTTTGTCTGGTTGAGTTCTGGTGAGAGAGTCGTCTGACTGATGTCTGGAGAAAGAGGGATCTGACCCAGTTCTGGGGAAAGATTTGTCTGACTGAGTTCTGGAGAGAGGGTCACCTGGCTGAGGTCTGGAGAGGTGATTGTCTGCCAGACTTCATGTTCTGAGGAAGGGGACATTTGACTGATATCAGTGGGGAAGGACTTGTGATTTTGGTCATAGTCAAATATCTCACTGAGCTCTGGAGAAGAGGATCTGTGACTGGGGTCTGAAGTAGAGTTCATTTGATCAAGGTCTTGAATAAGGAATGTTTCATAGTGTTCCTCTGGGGGCACTGACTGATAAAGATCTGGAGGAGAACTTGTCTGATCAGTGTCATTTGAGGAATTCTGATTATGGTCAGGAAGTGAGAGTATCCAGCCAAAATCCACAGAGGGCAATGTCTGATTGAGGTCTATGGGAAAAGATGTTTTATTGGATTTATGGAGCAACAAGGAATGATTAAATCTTCTTTCTGAAAATGGGTTGTAGGCTTCACTTCTTAGAGAGTGAAAGGCCCTTGGAGATAAAGGAGCATGGTGTGTATGCTTCTCTTTTCTCTTTTTTCGTGTCTTAATGAGAAACTGGCTTTTCTTCAGTCCACTGTTTCCTCCATCCTGTCTTATTTGTAGAATTTTATGTCTAACTCTAGAAAACTCTGGCTGGCCACTCGGCTTTCCAGGCTTGTTGGTAAGAGGGGTGCTTTCTCCCCTGGCATGTGAGGCATTCTGAGGGCTGATCAGCTGATTGTTAACAGCTGTGTCTTCATCAGTATCTTGGATTACTTCATAACTACCTTTCTCAGAAGCCAAATGCCATTTCCCAACCAGAATCTTAGATGGGTTCTTTTGTTTTAAGAGTAACAGATCACTAGGAAGGTCCTTCCGGGGCCTCATTCTGGAAGAACCATTGTATTGGCTTAGATGCCTCCCAATTTTATCTGCTGGTGATTTCATCCAGGAGAACCTGTGCTTTGCTGCTTGGTCTCTTTTTACCTTGGGTTCCTTATGTTTAGGATGTTCTTGACTTCTGAATTCTCCTGCACCAAGTGAAAGTAGATGTATCCCTGTGACATCTGACTCTAGAGGATCCTCTATAGGGTTTTCAGAATAAGGGCTGGAATGCTCTGCTGTGGAAGAATGGAAAACTGAGTTCTTGCCAATGAGGTGTCTCTGTGGGGAACCAGCTATAGTGGCTTGTTGGTGAGAAGGGGTTTTCTGAGGTTCTGCAAGGTTATTGACAGTGAGCTTACTAATCTTCATTGGGGAAGAATAATTTGAACCAACAGTTACATCTGTGTTTGGAGAAATAAATTCACTGTTATTCTCCAGAGCTAGGGCAGTAAGATTGAACTCTTCTTCTTTCTGATTCAGTGATGAATTTCTCAGTGATCTAATTCCTAATGCTGAAGCCAGTCTATTCTGGTAATCATAGTCAGCATCACTCTCTTCATCTTCATTTTCTGAAGGATCGTGCATTTTCCGTGTAGCTATGACCGAAGATTCTTGAGGTTCATAAATCTCATATGAGTCTTCATAATCATCTCGAATACATTTAACATCCCTAAATTTCAGCCTCAGCTTTTTGCTTCTTGGACTGGAATTCATGGTAGTTAATATCCAAGTTCCTACAGAAGAGAGACAGAGAAGAGAGATCTGGAAGTCTGGGAAAAGACATGCAAACATATGGATCCCCTGTGGCAGGTCATTTCTAATAAACTTTAGTCAGGGACATTCAAGTATGGGCTGTGGACCACTGCTTGTCTGTGAACTATTGGTTACTGGGTCACAATAACATAAGGAGAGAAAACGAGAATGAAATGCTTAAGAAACTTGTTTTTTCTAAAGCAGTTTGACATTGCTGTGACTCTAAGCACATGAGTAGTGCATTTATTTCATTTAACAGAATACAAACCACAAGTATTAGTTAGTGGAGATTAGCGGGGGAAAAGGTCTTTCAGGACAGGTAGTATCTCACTGAGAATATATTAAGAAAGGGGTGACTCAAAAATAAAATGAACTTTTAGTATCATAAATAACAGCACATCTTATTTTAGAAATAGAGTTAAGGGGATGATGATGAGGTCTATCCTCACAAATAAGAGACATTTAGATATTTTTAAGTAATAAGCAATTCAGGAGGGCAATTTTGAATCTTTGAAATGACATGCATTGCTGGCACACTAAAGATTTCTTGGGGTCAGACGCGGTGGCTCACGTCTGTAATCCCAGCACTTTGGGAAGCCAAGGCAGGCAGATCACGAGGCAAGGAGATAGAGACCATCCTGGCTAATAGGGTGAAACCCCGTTTCTACTAAAAATACAAAAAATTAGTCTCTAGTGCCAGCTACTCAGGAGACGGAGGCAGGACAATCGCTTGAACCTGGAAGGCGGAGGTTATAGTGAGCCGAGATCGTGCCACTTCACTGCAACCTGGGTGACAGAGCAAGACTCCGTCTCAAAAAAAATTTCTTGGTGAGTCTCCAATAGTTACCATTGCTGGTATCTACTGAGTGCTAGGCACTTGGCACATATTACTGTTTTAATGGTCGAAGTAACTCTGTGAGGTGTGATTTGTGGCTCAGTGAGGCCACATAACTTGCGTAAGGTTACACAGCAATTGAGTGGCAGATCAGGACTCGCACTCCAGTCTGACAAACTCCAAAGCTGGAGCTGAAGCAGCCTCTAAGGCACTGTACCTGATGACTGAAGACGGCTGTCACAAAAAAACCAAAAAGGGCATTTTGATAAAAGAAATGCTCTTTTGTGGCCAAAATATTTATGCTTCTTCCTCAGAGTTATGCCTTATTTTTCTACTGTTGTGTCTTTACTTCCTACTTTGCCCCGAGAAGGAGAAATATAACCCCACATTAAAGGACTGGATCCATTTAAATCATTAATTTCTCAAAGAGGAATCATGAGAAACATTGAAAGAAAAGCCTGCAGAGGATCAGGGAGATAAACAGAGGAGCACTGGCAGCCTGGAGAGCAGCAGCAGACCTTTATAGACCAGAAATTCAAAGCAAGCTGCGTCTCTGAACGTCCAGGCTCTTACTCACCAACATTATCCATTGTGACCGTCACAGATTCTCCGCGCATGGGGAAGAGGGTCAAGGTGTCCTCGTGCCTCTTTCCATAGATGAACGAGTGCCCAGTGAAGTGGATGGTCAAAATGTCATTCTGGGTCCCCACACTACAGAAGTGCCACTGGACAGTGTCATCAAAGCAGAATCCAAGAGTAGGTATGCTCTCCGGCACATAGCCATTGATAGCTGAAAGAGTAAAACCTGTTAAAATTCCAGGTCTATGTCAACGAAAGGGCATATGTCTAATTATACCTAAGACAAATGTCTCTGTTAATACAGCTGTGTCAAAACAGTGATTATCCAAGATAAGCTTTATCTGATCTAACATGTGACTAGAAGATCAAACTCAGAATTCTCAAATGAGAGATTATTCTCCTAAGTTAGCCAAAAGAGAAATATCAAGAAAAAGATAAACCTTCCATTTATATTGATTTATTCATTTATTTGTCAAATGTATAGTAAATATTTTGTGTTCCACTCTCTGCCTTAAAGATATTCCAATAATTCCACTTGGAGGCCTAATATAAGAAATGCATGTTTTTGATAACATTAGTCATTGGATAAGAAGTAATGTCCCTAAAAGTAAAGATCATTTAGCGTATTTTTTAGTTTTTATTGCTCTGTCTTATAATCTATATAGTATCCACAGTTTCAAGTATCCAGTTCATACATTTTCATTATTGTTAAAAGGGACACAGCTGTAGGCAATATTTTTATTTACTCATATACTAAGCATGGTAGTAAAAAATCAAAGACTCGATTTCTATGAGGGCAGGGCTCATATCTACCTGAATTACCACTCTCAGCCTTAGTACCAGTATAATGACTGACGTTAACAAATATTTAAATACCTACCTAAATCATTAAGTCACTTGAATAACTTACATGTTATGTTATTATTAGTTTGTACCTCATTCTAGATGTTTTTCTAAATTGTCTATAACTGCATTGTTCAATATGGTAGCCATTAGCTACAAGTGGCTCTTGAGTACTTGAAATGTGGGCAGACTGGACTGAGGTATGCTGTGAGTGTAAAATATATATTGGATTTCAAATACTTAGTAATAAAGTAAATATCATTAACTTTTATATTGATTATGTGTTGAAATGGTAATATTTAGGGTATACTGAGTTAAGTAAAACATGTTACTAAAATTAATATCACCTATTTCTCTTTTTAATGTGGCTATCAGAAAATTTTAAATTACAGATGTAGCTCATATGTAGTTTCTATTGGACAGCACTGGTCTAGAACAGTGATTGATTCACTGCCAAAAGGAAGTGATGCAAAGAAAGCTGAGAGTAATTTTCTGTTTGAATTATTTGTCCTGGCACCTGTCAGCTGTGATAATCCATAGCTGTCAGTCGTCTGAAGCTATATGAACAGAACATGGAGAAATCATCCTCACATGTGTGATTACCTATGAGAGAAAGTGATTACCATGACTCTAGACTCTGACAGGGGACTCACTAGGGGACCCCTGACTGTTGTGGAGAAGTTTGCTTCCAACTGACTCAGTGACATTTCTCTCCGACTGCCATGGCAGTGCTTTTGGCTACTGAACTTCAGAACTGCAGCAAATGCTGGAACCCTCATTCAGGAAATGCCTTCTGTTCTGAACTTCTTACTGATCACTTTAAATTTCTTCATGCATTGCCTTTCCAAGACTCTTAGGTCCCTGTACTCATTTTGCTCTACTTTGATGTGTCAATCCATCTTTGGATTATTTGCCTTGTTTCTGCCCTGGCCGTATAGAATATTCACCCTGAACTCAGTCTAAAGTTCTTGGATGCTACTGACACAACCTGTAACATCTTCCATTACCCCCAGCCCCTCACCCTGTTCCTCACTGCCCAGAGTATGTCTGTATGTGCACATGTGCATACGTATACACACACATGTGTGCATGTGCACACATACCCACACGCTTGGAACAGAAGACCAAGTCCATTTCTAAGGATGGAGAGCCTTTGACCTCTTGCTTAAAAATTTTGCTATGATGTCACCCATGGATTTCATCACCAAGTCTTTGGACTGGAAGTGAGGGCTGGAGGTGCTCTTTAGCGAGTGGATTCTAATCCATGTCTCTGACTCTAGGCATAGTCATATTTCAACCACAGGAGTGAAAAACTGATGAACAAAAATAGTACTCTGACTTACTGCTCATGACATTTGATTCGTAAAAGTTGGGGTCATCACGTTTCACCTCATCAGGATTTTCACAAAACTTGTTGATGTTGTCCTCAAGGTACCAGCTTTTGTTCTCATCAAATACAGCAAACACAGCCCTCTGTTCGATGTCTGCTGCCCTCTGAAGGACAAAACAGCATAGTGGTACAAGAACAGATGCATAGACCAATAGAACAGAATACTGAACTCAGAAATAATGCCCACCTACAACTATCTGATCTTCCAGAAACCTGACAAAAACAAGCAATGGGGAAAGCCTTCCCTATTTAATAAATGGTTCTAGGATAAGTGGCTACCCATAGGCAGAACATTGAAACTGGACTCCTTCCTTACACCATATACAAAAATTAATTCAAGATGGATTAAAGACTTAAGTGTAGGCTGGGCATGATGGCTCATGCCTGTAATCTCGGCGCTTTGGGAGGCTGAGGCAAATCCCAGCTACTAAGGAGGCAGACTGAGGCAGGAGAATAACTTGAACCCAGGAGGTGGAAGTTTCAGTGAGCTGAGATTGCGCCACTGCACTCCAGCCTGGGTGACAACGTAAGACTCCATCTCAAAAAAAAAAAGATGTAAATGTGAAACCCCAAACTATTAAACCCCGGAAGATAACGTAGACAATACCATTTGGGACATAGGCATGGGCAAAGGTTTCATGACGAAGACACAAAAAGTAATTGCAACAAAAGCAAAAATTGACAAATGAAATCTAATTAAACTAAAGAGCTTCTGTGCAGCAAAAGGAACTATCAACAGAATAAACAGACAACCTGCAGAATGGGAGAAAAATTTTACAAACTATGTATTGACAAAGGCCTAATATCCAGCATTTATAAGGGACTTAAATTTACAAGAAAAAAAACAACCCCATTAAAAAGTAGGCAAAAGACATGAACAGACACTTTTCATGTGGCCAAAGAGCATATGAGAAAAGCTCAACATCACTGATAATTAGAGATATGCAAATCAAAACCACAATGAGATACCATCTCATACCAGTCAGAATGGCTATTATTAAAAAGTCAAAAACTAACAGATGCTGGAAAAGTTGTAGAGAAAAAGAAATGCTTTTACAATCTTGGTGGGAGTGTAAATTAGTTCAACCACTGTGGAAGACACCATGGTGAGTCCTCAAAGACCTAAAGTCAGAAATACCATTCAACCCAGCAATTTTATTACTGGGTATGTACCCAAAGGAATATAAATCATTATGTTATAAAGACACATGAATGCATATGTTCACTGCAGCACTCTTCACAATAGCAAAGACATGGAATCAACCCAAATGCCCATCAATGATAGACTGGATAAAGAAAATGTACATATACACCATGGAATACTATGCAGCCATCAAAAAGAACATGATTATGTCCTTTGCAGGGACACGGATGGAGCTGGAGGCCATTATCCTAAGTAAATTAACACAGGAACAGGAAAACACATACCGCATGTTCTCGCTTACAAGTGAGAGCTAAATGATAAGAACACATGGACACATATAAGGGAACAAAACACACTGGGGCCTATTGGAGGATGGAGGGTGGAAGAGGGAGAGGATCAGGAAAAATAACTAATGGATACTAGGCTCAATTCCTGGGTGATGAAATAATCAGTACAACAGACCTCCATGTCATATGTTTACCAGTGTAATAAACCCACACATCCTGCACATGGACCCCTGAACTTAAAAGTTTAAAAATGCTGTATTCAGTCGTTAGTGTTCTAGCAAATTACCTACCCCACTGAGTTCTCAGAAACCAAAGCGACACAGTTCTTGGAACTACGGAAGCCATATATTTCAGGCATTTATGAGAGTCCATTTTGTACACAGCACATGTTAGAGCTGAAGGTAATATGCAAATGCAAACAGAACAGATCAGAAAATTCAGAGATTAAAATACCCCAAAAGAGCCGGGCGTGGTGGCTCACGCCTATAATACCAGTACTTTGGGAGGAGGCTGAGGGGGATGGATCACCTGAGGTCAGGAGTTCAAGACCAGCCTGGCCAACATGGTGAAACCCTGTCTGTACCAAAAAATACAAAAATTAGCCAGGCATGGTGGCTTATGCTTGTAATCCCAGCACTTTGGGAGGCCGAGGTGGGCAAATCATAAGGTCAAGAGATTGAGACCATCCTGACCAACATGGTGAAACCCCGTCTCTACTAATAATACAAAAATTAGCTGGACGTGGTGGCACATGCCTGTAGTTCCAGCTATTTGGGAGGCTGAGGCAGGAGAATCGCTTGAACTCGGAGGCAGAGGTTGCAGTGAGTAGAGATCACACCATTGCGCTCCAGCCTGGTGACAGAGGGAGACTCCATCTCAAAAACAAAACAAAACAAAAATACCAAAATTAGATAGGCGTGGTGGTGGGCACCTGTAATCTCAGCTACTAGGGAGACTGAGGCAGGAGAATCACTTGAACCCAGTAGGCAGAGATTGCAGTGAGCCACGATGATGCCACTGCACTCCAGCCTGGGTGACAGAGCAAGACTCTGTCTCAAAAGAAAAAAAAACACCCAAAGAAAAGTCTCATTTCACCATGGCAACTGAAAGTCTATCTCTGTAATTGCAAACCTTTCAACATGAATGATTAACTGAATATCTGAATAACTGCAAAGGATAGAACAGAAGGTTGCAATAGAAAAGTATGCTTCTCCTACCTGTTTCCTTTCCTAGCTCAATAAATCAGGATCTTCCATGTGTCCAGAAATTCATTTCTGATTTTTTCTCGACATATATTTATGTTGTATGCCTTGAGATAAGACCTCTTAGGTTATAGTTTAGCATAATTGGGAATTTTAGTTTAATAATATGAGACTATAATTCTTCAATATAAACTCAGAAATTCAGTATATTTGTTCACATTCTTCTGTATACTTTAGTCTCAACAGAGATGGATCATTATCTGGGTTCAATTGCACTAGATGTCTCTAAACGTGGTTGTTTTCAGAGAATCTCTACTCTCTCTCCCTATTGCAGGTCTCTAAAAATAACAAAGACTGCTAAAGAGCTATACACTTTTACCAGATGGTATCTCACTGAACCCACAAACAGACCTGTAACATTTTTAGGAGGAGTATTGCCCATTTGACAAAAGGGAGAAATTAGGAAAGGCTAATCAACTTGCTCATCACATCCAATACCAACAGACCTGGGATTTGAAACTAAGAAAAATATGTTACCACACTCTAGACTTGCCTTCTGCAGTTAGGGTCCTGAGTAAAAATAGACAAGACAAAAAACAAAGAATAAATGTTATCACGTTGGTGCTGAAAAGGAATACTTGATATTTACTATTTTCTTGAAGGAAAAGCCCAGTTACGTAGCCAGGAGACCTAATATGTTCTAGCCAGAAGAAATTCCCAGAATTTCTGAAAGGTTACTTCAAGGACAAAATACCTGTATTCCTCGCTTGTCCAGGGATCTGGTCTTACAGATTAGAAGTAGTCCTATTAGCCCAGAGGCAATGTCTCTCATCATGTCCACATTACTATAGTATGGTCTTGTTAAGCACTGGGCATCATTTTCCGTGGGTTCATCTAACTCTAAGATGTTCCACTTATAAGTATAGGTTTCCCCTGGTTGAACTGCTCTGATCATGGTGTTACTGCCTGAAAGAAAATATATTCAAAATTATTTTCCTTTGCAAAGTTATTTCATGATAATAAATAAATAAATAATTGAGCTTTCATTAGAATCGATTAATATTGCAAAAGGAATTCTTTGAATATTCTGCTTGGAACCTGGGTAGCAGGTAGCCATTAGATACTGCTCCAGTAGAGGCCGCTATGACACTAATAAAAGACACCAGATGAAATTCCTTAAGTGAAAAGGGTGATTTTTTAGGATATTCCTACGTGTATACTCCCTGACTTCAGTAGTGACACCACTGGGCAAGGAGAATAGCAGAAAAACATGACAGCCTCTCCGAAGTCACTAGTGGGATTCAGTAGAAGTGAAAGATTCAAACCTGAGGTGAAGGAAGAGTTGACTTCATCTTCATAAGGCGAGAAGGTCACTCCATGAGGATAAATGCTATAGGGGCGGCTGGCCATATTTCTGAACACGATCTACAAAGTTAGATCAAATTTATTCTAGGATTTCAGGCTGATCATGAGAACTAAATATAAGATAGTTATTATTAGTTCTATCTTTTGAATAGCTATCTATCTTATGAATAGCTTTGCATATTCACCTTTTGGGTGGTGTGTGTGTACACACAGTGGGAAAATTAGATCTGTTTAACTGCAGTAACCTCCCCCCATCACCTGGAAGGAACATCGGAGAGTATATTCCACTCACACATTGAGGTGGAAAATGGAAGTGAAGCCTGACTTTAGAGGATAGGTTAGAAGTGACATTTTCCTTGCAGTATCACCCTCTCAGAGCAGGTCCCTATTCCCCTGTCCTTCTCCTCTCAGCTTGGGCCAAATCTCATTTTGAATCTGCTCCTCATTTCTAGACCATGATCCCCCTCCCATGCCTGGCAGTATTTTAGGATACTGTCTTTGAAGTCATCTTCTCAGCTGGGTGCAGTGACTCAAACTTGTAATCCCAGCACTTTGGGAGGCCAAAGCAGGTGGATCACTTGAGCTCAGGAGTTCAAGACCAACCTGGGCAACATGGTAAAATCTCATCTCTACAAAAAAAACTACAAAAATTAGCCAGGCATTGGGGTGCATGCCTATAGTCCCAGTTACTTGGGAGGCTGAGGTAGGAGAATCGCCTGAGCCCAGGAGGTGGAGGCTGCAGTGAGCCATGATCACATCACTGCACTCCAGCCCGGGTAATGGAGTAAGACCCTCAAAAAAAAAAAAAAAAAAAGCCACTTTCTTGAGAGGCACAGACAAATAGCCAGATCCTGAACTTCTAATAAGGTATGTCTACACTTGCTAAGAGCATATAAAAGAGATCAGAAATGGAAGAAGGGAAAGACACATGAAGAAAAAAAATCCTGCTTTTGTCCTTTGGGTATTTTAAATGAACAGAATAGACCTTGTCAGATGCATTATACACACAGGAGTCCTAGACAGTCTCTTTAATCTACAAAAGAGAACCTTAATCTTATCTTTTATTTGGTTGATTGTCAAAGCCTTTGGATCATCCTTTGTCAGTAGATTATCTGCATTCTAGGATTTCGTCAAAGATTGCAACCCTCAATTCTCTGCTGTCCAGTTCTTATCTAGCTTGGTGAAGTGACATGACATTTAAGGAGAATTGTCTGAGAAAAACTCCGTGTTCTTGATACATGGAGTTTACCTTCATAAGAGTCCAACCATACCTAGACTACATTAAAAAATGTTTGAGTAAAAAGTGTTTCTGTTCAATCGTGTTTACTGCTATGTTCTTAGCTATAATAAGAAACATTATTTTTAAAAGCTTTGCAACTTTTAACCTATTGTGCCGGTTATAAGAATTTTGTTAAGGATGCTATCCACTGTTTTACTCAGCAGTCTCTTTTGAAGAATTCATTAAAGAAGTTTTTCTTAGATCTTGATATCAGGGTAAATGGAGCTTTCTTTTTGTAGATGATGTAAACCTCACCCTGATATATTTCTCTTTTTGTAGATGATGTAAACCTCACCCTGATATATTATATATTTCCTTTTTTTTTTTTTTTTTTTTTTTGAGATGGAGTCTCATTCTGTCACCCAGGCTGGAATGCAGTGGTGCGATGATCTTGGCTCACTGCAACCTCCGCCTCCTGGCTTCAAGCAATTCTTCAGCCTCAGCCTCCCCGAGTATCTGGGACTACAAGTGCGTGCCACCACATCCAGCTAATTTTTGTATTTTTAGTAGATAGGGGTTTCACCATATTGGCCAGGCTGATCTCAAACTCCTGACCTCATGATCCGCCTGCCTTGGCCTCCCAAAGTGCTGGGAATACAGGCATGAGCCACTGCACCCGGCCATGTTTTCTTTTTTACACTGGCTGCTATAAAGCTTAGGACAAAATTTGAAGACAGACTTACAGGGTCACATGGTATCTACTTCTCTGTGGCTTTATTTTCTTTGTCCCAATATTCTACCCCAATTACATAGACTCTTTGTTTTATGCCTTTATAATTTGAGAAATTGTCTCAGATCCTTTGCATTATTAAGTAGGCTATAAATTAATGCAAATACTAAATAAAAACTAAAAGTTGCATTTGAATTTAAAATTATATGAATGCCTTTTTCTTTTAAAATTAAAAAATAACCAGGTACTTTGTAATATTTTACTATTTAATTTCTCCAATGATTCTGTATTTCTGTTACTTACTTTGAGTGTGTCTCTGACCTGGGCTCTGATAATAGGACCCAAAATCCCATCTTCTTTCATATGGGGATTCTCTATATGTTTGGTGAAGGACTCATCTTCATACTGTGTGTAAATAACTTTCTTATAATGTTTTCCAATTCGGTTTGAGAAATTATCCAAATGCAGAGACCTGTATTTTCTTAAGGTGAAATAAAATTTTTAAAAATTAAGCCACTTTTCTCAAATAGAGATCTCAGTAGGATGGGGGAAACACTTGTGCTGAGAAGTTCTGCTCTTAGATTAGCTAAAATGCTAGTTCTTTAAAAATTTCTTAGTGTATTTTGCAAAGTCCTGATGTTTTCTGCCAGTTGAAAAACTGGAAACTTCTGAGTTGTCTCCTGCATCACTGATAAAAGTCATAGGTAATTGGTTAGAAGCAGCTACTTAGATCTTCCTATCATTCTCACTGAGACAGCAGACCTTTGATATCTCTGAGGAAAGGCGTATAGTGGATGAAAGGATACCGCAAATTTTTCTAAAGGCTCTCCTATCACTTAATCTATGATAGCCTTTTTGGTTTTGAAAGTATTTCTTAATCCCTAAAAGCACCTTCTCACCCCAGGAAGCCTTTGCTAGCACTATTAATTATAGTTCTATGCTATTGGGCTTTCTTCCACCATCTAACCAATCCTCAGAGATGACTGAAAAACAACCTCTTTCACCCATTTTTCATAGCTACTGAAATAAATACTTTGGGAGAAGCAACATGAACCACTTTTCCCCTGCCCTCTTTATTGCTTTAGTTTGCAAAATCAACTATATGCAGCCAAAATGCATATTTTAAAAAGCTCGACATCAGTGATCATTAGTGAAATGCAAATCAAAACCACAATGAGATGCCATCTCATGCCAGTCAGAATGAGGATGATTGAAAAGTTAAGAAACAACAGTTGCTGGCAAGGTTATGGAGAAAAAGGAGCACTTATACACTCCTGGTGGGACTGTAAATTAGTACAACCATTGTGGAAGACAGTATGGCAATTCCTCAAAGACCTAAAGTCAGAAATATCATTTAACCCAGCAATCCTTCAAAACAGAGTATCTGTCTATTTTATGAATTTATTTTGCACAGTGGAAAGCAGTGACTGTTGCCAAACACTCCTGGATTCCTATCTCAGTCCTGTCACTAATTTTATACCCTTGGCTAAAGTTCTTTTTATTTTGTTCTTTCTCCTAGTTTAATTCTTTTTAATAGAAAATACATTTGCATAATTTTTATTACAGTGAAAACTCTTACTTGTATCTGATAACCATCAAGGTGACCTCCCTAGCCGTCCCTCAATTTTCTTGGTGGCCATATATTAATTTCATGTGTATAATTTCAGAATATCTTTATGTACATAAATGCCAATGTGTCTTAAAAATAAGCAAGTATAAATATTCTTGTCCCCTTCATGCCTTTAACAAAAGGCCTCTATATATACATGCTAGATTATATCCCAACTTTTCAATTTAATAACATATCTTGGAAAACTTTTTGTATTAGTACATATAGAGTGTTTGCATCCTCTTTTTTTGATGCTTAGTATTCCACTGTATGGATGCATCATAATTTATTAAACTAGTTTCCTATTGATGGACATTTTGAGATATATGCATTTAGAATTTTGATTCATATTCCCAAGTTATCCTCCAGAATCCCTTTACCAATTTAATCTTCCACCAGCAATATATGATAGTGCTTATTTCTCACAGCCTTGTCAACAGATGATATCATCTGGATTTGTGAATCTGTTAGATAAAAATAGTATTTCTGTGAAGTTTAATTTGCATTTCTCTTATGAGTGAAGTTGAGTAACTTTTCAAGTGTTTAAGAGCTATTTGAATTTCCAAATCTCTTAATCTCTCTGACCCATTTCCTCATGTATAAAAAGAAATAAGAGCAGTATCTGGCTTGTAGAATTAAAGTGAAGCTTTCAGAAAGGGTTTAATACAGTGCTTGGCCATGGCAAGCATTCAGTAAGTGGTAGCTGCTGTTGTTATGTTTATTGTGACTGGGCTGAATTTCTTTGGTGATTTGGGAGTAATTCAAGATTAATTTTTAAAGGAAGATTTAAGTAGAAACCAATATATGTGTCCCCTTGAGAGCTGTTGACTTAAAACATTTCACCCTCAAACATCTAGGGCCCTATGGAATGTATCTTGAACCTCTGCCCAGTGGTATGAACCCCAACAACTCACTTGTCCATGTTTGCTGGTATTACAGGCGCGTAGTCCCAAATGATTTCCTCTGCAGCAATGAAGTATTCCCACCTCTTAATGTGCCGCCTCTGCTCACGAGTTATTTTTTTAAGTCTCCTGGTTTTCTTTGGGCAGTTTTTAATGTCAATGTAAGCCTGCATCCCAGCTGAGTTAGGACAGCAAGACAATGAAATAACTTGAGAGAAGAAATTATGATTGATGGAAATGCATATCCTTTAAATCAATTTGTGGAAGATTTATATTAATATAGAAACAGTGAAAGTAATGCTAAGGCGACTTTTGAAGATTTTAGTTTGGAACTCATTCAGTGGCATCCAGAAAAGGCAAGAATTTAAAAAGGTAGGAAGAGAGGAGGGGTTAGGGAAAAAACTTGGAAAGATTCCCTTTATTTCTTCTTGAGCACGCAAATTTATTATAATTTTCAACCTCTTAAGTCCCTATGAATTATGTCTTGTGGAATTCTCATTTTTCTGTTATCTGTCCCTTAATCTGTAAAATGAAGAAAGCAGTAGTATTTAATGAGATTGTTGTTAAAAATTAAATATTAATAGCAACATATAATGTACTTATCCTCAACAAAAAACAAAAGTTTCATTGTTTTAATATCATTGGGAACTCTATCTTTCACGGACATTGGGATGGTTTTATTACTTCAAATATAATTTTGGCTGCCCATGTGAAAAGAAATAGAAATGATCTCATGAAGTATCTCCTTCTTATATGTGTTGCTTATGCATTATCTCCTCCTTATATGTGTTGCTTATAATGACTCCTATAGTGATATAATTTACTTAGATTTTAGTCTGTTTACATGAACCCTCCTCTCAACAGTTTTTCAGCAACTATGTGTAGTAGAACAGTTATTTTGTTTACATGACATCACATAGCCTGAGCTGATTTATTTTCCCATTTGAATTCACCAGTGTCCTTTAGAGCTCACCCCTCAGCTGTTAGATGCCAGGTATGACCCATTCAACACACATTCATTGAGTTCCTCTCCATGCTAGACTTTTTATTCATGCCACTGTAAAGGTTAATGGTTTCGAGCTAAACTTTTACACTTTCCGTAACTTTTGTGCTAGCATCTAGGTCTTTTTCTCTGGCTACATATGAAGTAATCCCAAGAAAGAGTATCTATGTATGGGTTTGTTTCCTTCCTCCTTTCTTTTATCAAGGATGTTAGAGACCTTTTCAGCTTTTGCTTAATTTAAAAAATATATATATTTGTCAATTCTTTTACTTTCTCCATCCCCCAAAAGCAATTTATAAATCTAAGAGCAGAGTATCTAAGTTTAGTTGTTAGGAACCAAGGCATGTTTGTCTGGGGTGCCGGTGGCTTGAAGGGGCAAGGGAGAAAGAGGGAGTTAGTGCCTGGGAAGAAAGGAATCTGTATTCAGAAGCAAGACTGTCAGGAGAGTTTCTTGCCTTGCAAATGTTTTGGGGTGAGAGAAGATATGATCCACTTTCCCTCTGGGCTCACAGTCATATTTGCGGTAGTGGATGTAGCACTGACAAGGGTGATGGCTGAGACCTTATGATGGTTCTGCTCCAGAACCTGGCCGTTGAAATGAATGGAGAACAATTCTGGCCCTGAGCTCATTCCAAGAAGATGCCAGCTGATGTGTTCATAGGCACAAACCGTTATATCTAAGAAATAGAGAGAGATACAGGCCAAAATAAGCATTCAGTCAAGTATTCTGTGATCAAACATTCACTCACCAAATGTATTGAGCACCTGCTGTGTGTCAGCAACAAAGCCAGGATTCCTTGTATAACTGGTAAGAAATAGAAGCTAGAATCTGAGATCAAAAAGCTAGAAGGTAGGAGGCTTTGGTGGAAGCATTTATCCACACCAAGGAAATGCTCATGTTGAGTTCAGCAATTAACTTATCTGTATTAGCATTTATCATATGTATTCAATTTATTCTGCTTTATAAGGCAGATAGTTTTACCAACGTTTACTATTCTTAGTTTCCACTAATGGTCTTTCCCTACCCTGTCCCATTTACCCCCAATTATTCTTTTGGGAACTATAAATTTCTAAACTCTAAGCTTAGATCAATTTATTTTTATTTTTGTGCATATGGTTTTGCCTTTTTTGGCATCCATATACTTCCACAGATTGCTTACTCTGCCAGGAAATAGTTATTAGGATAAATGGGTAGTCTTCTTTTGTAAGTAAGCACAACTAATTGTCAAGGGCCACAGAAGGTAGAGAAGTGAGTGAGGTCTGAACTCAGATTATTTAAGGTTGAGGCCAGTCAACTAAGCCCCAGGTTTTACAAACTCCTGGTACTGGAATGCAGGATCAATACTGAGAGTCATATGAGTATATTTTCCAAAAACCAAGTGGAAAATATAGTCAAATGAAATAGAACACAATTTAAAAACACAAACTCAACCCCAACTCTTAACAAATGCTATGTTTTAGTCAGTGAAGCCGTTTGTGGTTTTCAGGTGGCATTAGAGAATGACCTCTAAGAAGTCTAGCGTTTTGAAATATGGCTTATTTAGTAAAGTGACATTTTCATTTTTTAGTGTTTTTCCCTCAGGCTAGTATAATATACACTGAATTTTTAGTTGTAGGTCAGTTCTACCAGAGAGAAATAGAAAAGATGAGGTCTAAGTGGGAGTAAGTTATTTTTTCTCTTAATGGTTGCTATGATTTTGCCTTCTCACAAGAGTCCAAATGCAAATGGAAAGAGAAAACATTCTAGATGCCATTGAGTGTGACTCTTCTATCACCTGTTAAAAAGCTGGTAGTATTTGTGTGTGTTGGGGATTACTTCTAATCTGTTCATCTTCACTGCAGTTGTCTTTATGCAATCTTTCTGTTGACCCTTCCTGCTAAGGGTTGTCCTTGAAGAAGGCATGGTCATCATGTAGTAGGAACTGCAGAACTCAGAGAGAGAGGCTGAGCTGATACCCTGAAGGTCTTTTTGAAAGTACAGGCCAAGGTGAAACCTAATCAGATCACTGTATCTAACAAGGCTGCACATTTCTTCTCGAGCTTCTCATTTGTCTCTTATATTTCCTGTTTTTTAAGAAATAGATGAGAAAATATTACCTTCTTGATAAGGAGTTGCAAAATATTGAGTAAGATCAACTTCCCTAGTGCCTTGAAGAAAACAACAGGATGGAAAAACAACAGGACCAAAGAATTACTAACAATTTTACTGTTGCTGAATGGTGCACACCCCTCACGGTACCTGGCATTGTTCCATTCGCATATCCATTGACTGTGTACATTAGGGATGATGACTGGCTCCAGCTCTTGCTTTCATCAAACACAGCAAACAGTAGCACAAGTTGCTTGTCAAACATCTTCTGTGTCCCATCTTCAGTTAGGGTCCCTAGAAAAGGAAAGACATATTTTCAGTAGCAGATAGAAGACTCATTAGCTTTCCTGGATAGCCAAGAGCAAGCAATCAGCCATAATGATATCAATTTGAAGAAGTTGTTATTTTTAAAAATAGCATATTTATCAAGTAATAATGGTTCTAGGGTTATTAAAAATCTTGTGCCACACTGTTTTCTTTGACACCTTGTTGCCTTGGGGAACAGGCTTTATTTCATCCAGTTTGGAAAGAAAACATTTGGTGACTCTCAAGACTATGAAAGTATCCATTTCCTCCAGTCTCAACAGACCAGTGTATAGATATATTAGCTCAGTCGGTAAACACATCATGCCCCAAGTTTAATGCTGTCATCTTATTTGTATATGAAAGCGGACATTCGGGAACTGGTTGGAAGTATTAGTATTAATTTATTCTCACTATGAGAAAAACATGCTGCTGATGGTAAAAAGAAAGAAGAGTCTTTCATAAGTTTTAAGTGTTTTTGCAGTACCATCACAGTATCTTGTGTATACCAGGAAATGAAAAAAAATGTATAATGAGTAAATACATTGGGAAGGTATGTAGGTATGGTCTGGGTGTATATACAGGCAGATGGTGAGTACATGATGTTATTTCCCATGCTATGGCTCACTGTGGTTGTTTGCTTGTTTTAATGAAAGATGGGCTGGATTCTCATGGGGTAAAATGAAGATCCAAGCTTGCTTCTAAGAAGCCCAGCCAATAAAAGTTCTTGTAAAGTCATTTGAGTATATTTGAAACCTACCACCCAATGTGTTCAGCTTGTTTATAAGAAAGGAAGCTGGCATTTAACATGTTTATAGACCAAATTACCAGCCCAAACCTCAGCTGTGTCAGATATGTTAGCCAAAGTTCTTTCTAAGAGCTCTTTCAGGAGAGTATAGGCTGCTGTATACTTTCTAAAAGACTTCGGCCTTGAGGTAAATATTACAGATCATACAAACATGACATCAGAACACACTCTCAAACAGGAATTTGCTTGGGAGAATCTTGAGGACTTAGATGAAGGAGGAAAGAGAAAAGGCAGAGGTGGATCCACACCCTGAAATAGCAGGTGTTTTTTCTCCTGCCAGGCAATGATCTGGTCTCCATGCCCTCTTCCTCTGCTTGATGTACAAGAAGTTACCAAGATGTTCCCAAGCTTTGTCCCATGACAGAACTCCTGACCATTCCAATATTTCACTGTTGAATCTTTTGGTGGAGGTGTTCTTACCTTCTTTACAGATGAGCAGAGGTCCAACCAGCCCAGAGTTGAAATCCTCGATCAGATTTTCATGGGAGTAATAGATGTGTGTGAGGCAGGGAGGGTCATCTTGAGTGGGCCCACTGTCCTCGCTGATACTCCATTCATAGGTGTATTCTTGGCCTGGAGCCACAGCATCATCCATCTTCTCCACAGGGAATGTGTGGTCAAGGTAAGAAGCACCTGGAGAAGTAAGCCATCAAGACATGTGAGCAGTTTCTGAGGACTGCATTTTCGCCACCCTCAAATCTGGGGATAGCTAATATGAGCTCTCCAGAGATGTGTATGTCCTACAATAGTGAACTTTTACTATTTGGGAAGATTCACATATTCCCATTTCTTTTTTTTTTTTTTTTTTTTTTTTTTTTTTTTTTTTTTTTGAGACGGAGTTTCGCTCTTGTTACCCAGGTTGGAGTGCAATGGCGCGATCTCGGCTCACCGCAACCTCCGCCCCCTGGGTTCAGGCAATTCTCCTGCCTCAGCCTCCTGAGTAACTGGGATTACAGGCATGCGCTACCATGCCCAGCTAATTTTTTGCACCTTTAGTAGAGACGGGGTTTCACCATGTTGACCAGGATGGTCTCGATCTCTTGACCTCGTGATCCACCCGCCTCAGCCTCCCAAAGTGCTGGGATTACAGGCTTGAGCCACCGCGCCCGGCTACATATTCCCATTTCTATGCCCATGTAGTTATAAAGGCTTTGATACAATGGTAATCTTAAGAATAACAAAAGTTAATTGTAAATTAAGGTTTAGCAAGTTAATTTTTCAGGGTGCCTGAACAATTATTATTTAAATATAATCAGAGAATTGAATCACCTTTGATCAGTAAATCATCTCAGAATATAAGAATGGGTTATATCTTCTTTGTGGTATTTAACAAGACACACTCAGCCTATTAGCACGAAATGGGAGGATAGTCAGAGCTGGTTTTATATTGTTTTGTTTTGCTATTTCAGATCTTCTTTCCAACTTCTGTGATCCTCAGCTCTATTTTATCTCTTTATTTCATCTTAGCCATCTGATTATCTCAATTTTTTCCCAGTGCCACAGCGTCTCACTCCCATATGCAGTCTGGTTTTGTCTATATGAATACGAAATGTGTCCATCCTCTGAAACTTAGACGTCTTAACTTCTGCTCTTTGTGCACCCAAAGACGCACCACTAACACCTTCACATATATTGGACTTTCCCTATTGGTAGGAGAGGGAGAGAATGAAGAAACTGGTCTTCCTTAATGAAGAGAGGGAACTGAGTTGCTCAATATTAAAATAAGTGTAGAGGGTTGGGTGGGGCTTTCAATAATAAAATGGAGCAAGTGAGGTCAGGAAGGGGAGAGGTGAGTGCCATAGATAGCCAAGTGGAATGGGCAGTTTCCTCTGCCCGAGGAATTCCTCATTTAATTAGGTGAAAGATTCCCTATCATCAGCTGGTGCCAGAATATCTCTATGGGATGCAGTTACTTTTGTTTGGCACAATCAACTTGATAAATTCTTTAAGAAACGAAGGTGAGATGTACATCAGTGTAGATGTAGGAAGACAACAAGGATCTGGGGGGAAAAAGCTTGAAATATTTTACATGATGGAGTAAAAAGCCATTCAAAACTACTCTTACTGAAGCAACTATACTTCGTGAAAAACTGAAATACTTAGTCCCGCCCCCTCCTTCCCTCCCCTTACTTTCTCTTCCCTTTCTTTTTTCTGTTCCTAGTTTTTTTCCCCTTTCTTTCTTTCTTTGCCTCTTTCCTTCCCTCTTTCCCCACCTTCCTTCCCCCTCTTTCTTCCTTCCATTATCTTTATTGAGGTATAATTAGCATACAATAACATTGACCAGTTTTAAATATAGTATTTGCTGAGCTTTGATTTTTAAAAAGTACACAGTCTTATAGCTGTAGTCCCAACGAAGATAGAGAAGAGTTCCATCGTTCCAAAACATCTCCTCATGCCATTTGCAGCCAATGCCCTCCAGGCCCAGACAGCCACTAACCTGCTTTATTTTACTATAATTTGTCTTTTCTGTAATGTCATAACAATGACATCATTACTAACTACCCTTTTGTGTGTGATTAGTGTTAGCTGGTATGGCATATATTTTTCTATCGTTTATTTTTTTACCTATCTTCGTCTCATTTAAAGTGGATTTCTGAAATTCTGCATACAGTTTAGCATTGCTTTTAATTCAGTCTTATTTGTTTCTTAATTGTAGTGTTCTTTCCATTTATTTATTTATTTATTTGAGTCAGAGTTTCGCTCTTGTTACCCAGGCTGGAGTGCAGTGGCGCGATCTCAGCTCACCGCAACCTCCGCCTCCTGGGTTCAGGCAATTCTCCTGCCTCAGCCTCCTGAGTAGCTGGGATTACAGGCACGCGCCACCATGCCCAGCTAATTTTTTGTATTTTTAGTAGAGACGGGGTTTCACCATGTTGAGCAGGATGGTCTCGATCTCTTGACCTCATGATCCACCCGCCTCGGCCTCCCAAAGTGTTGGGATTACAGGCGTGAGCCACCGCGCCCGGCCCCTCCATTTATTTTTAATGTAATTAATGATATGGTTAGATTTAAAACTGCCATCCTTATATTTATTTTCTCTTTGTCTATCTGGTCTTTATTTTATTTTATTTATCTGGTCCTTTTCCCTTCCTTTTTGTTTTCTTTTGGATTGAGTGTATTTAATGATGTTTGGTCTCCATTGTTGGCTTGTTAGCTTTATTAGTGGTGCCCTTCAGTTTACAATATATAATACATTTTTAACTTGTCACAGACTTCCTTCAAGTAATATTATACTACTTCACTTATAAGAAGCTTGGAATATTTCTTTTTCTTCCTTCCCAACCTTTGTGCTATTGTTATGCATTTTACTTATATATACATAATATACCCCACAATAAATTGTTACTATTTTTACTTTAACATTTAGATAATTGTCATTTTAACAGATTAAAATAAGGAAAATTTTGTCCATATTTATTCATTTCTGGAACTTTTCATTCCTTTTTGTGAATCTAAATATCTCTCTGATATAATATTTCTTCTATCTAAAGGAATTCCTTTAACATTTTTTTCTGTTCTGCTAGTGAGAAATTATTTCGTGTTTGTATATCTAAAACACTCTTTATTTTGCCTTCTTTTTAAAAGATATTTTTGCTTGGTATAGAATAGTAGATAGATTCCCCTATCCCCCACCCTCCCATCACATTAAAGATGTCCCTAATTGTCTTTCGTCTTGGTTAGTTTCTAATGATAAGTCTGCTATTATTTCTTGTTTCGGTTCTCCTGTATATGATGTGTCTTTTGACCTCTCACTGCTTCCAATATTTTCTCTTTATAACTGGTTTTCAGCAACTGGATTATGATGTGGATTGGTGTGGTTTTCTTCACGTTCCTTCTTGGTTTTTTCAAACCTCTTGAATCTGTTGGTTTGTAGTTTTCATTACATTTGGGAAGTTTTCAGTCATTATTTTTTCAAACGTTTTTTCTGTTCCTGCTACTTCTGGGATCCAGTTACGCATATGTTAGATCACTTGATATGGTCCCGTAGTTCACTGTTGCTCTATTCGCTTTCTTCAGACTTTTTAATCTCTATGTTTCATTTTGCACAATTTCTATTGTGATGTATTAATATGTTCTATTATGTTCTTTCACAGTGTCTAATGTGCTGTTAATTTCATCCAGTGTTCGTTTTTATTAGTGGTGCCCTTCAGTTTACAATATATGATTTTTTGTCCTTCGTTTTTTACTTTTATTTTCTATGTATTTATTTTTTACTTTCCATGTCAGCAATTGTATTTATCTACTCCAGTTCTGTGTATGCATATTTATATTCTCTATCTCCTCATCATGCTCATGCTTTTCTCTACTTTCTGGAACATATTGGGAAGCTTTCTGATAGCTGTCATAATGTCTCTGCCTGCTGCTTCTGTCCTCTCTTTCACTTCTAAATCTGTTTGGTTTTTTTCCTGGTTATGAGTCATCTCTTTCTGCTTCTTCTAATGCTTGTATTAACATTGTGAATTTACTTTGCTGTTTGTTGCATTCTTGTTAACTAGTATTGAGTTTTATTCACAGTTAGGATACTTGAAATCAACTCGATTCTTTCAAATCTTATTTTTTATTCTATTACCTCCTCAGCAGCCTGTAGTGGAGACTAACTTTATCCACCTACTGTTTCTAAATCCTTTTGAAAATTCTATCCAATTCTCATTTATTAGGGGATCTTACCACTTTTGATGGTAGGAACATAAACTATTGCTAGCCCTGTGTAAGATTCAGGGACTGTTCCACCTGTTCCTTTCAAGTGACATGTTTTTTACCCTCAGTACTTTCCTCACATGTATGTGCAGATCAGTATTCAACTTGACAAATCCTCTCTGTGGATTCTCAAGAGCTCTTTCTCTGTGATTATACTGTCCTCTCTAGAATTCTGCCCTACAGATCACAAATTCTAGCAACTTGGGCTTCTCCAAAGTCCAAACTCTATTTCCTCAACTCATAAAAAAAATCCGAGTTTGTGAACTTTGTGCTAGCGTAAAGTGGACTTCATTATGTCTTCCCCCAACCCACTCCAAAGGATGGCTTGACACTAATAACTAATAATTACTACAGGCTGTACTTTCACTTTGATAATAAAGTTGTCAGGAGCTGATAAATGATAAAAGCTTAACTCACTTCCTTTAAGTTATAACACAATTCTAGACTATAAATGAAACAAAGTTTATGAAGGAAGCATCTCCACTGATAAGCAGGAAGCATTATCTCTGAGAGATTACAAAAGAGCTTTGGTAGCAGAGCACAAACAGGACTGATAAGGAGAGTTCCCCTCTCAGGTCAGACCTTGTGTATTAACAGGAATTAGCATGGCTATTTGGTGAGCTGCACTATCTATCTTGAATCAAGCATGACAGCCCTTCTTCAATGCTTCTTACTACATGGCCTCATAAACTTGAAAAATGATGTTTCTGGACACAAAGCTCCCACTATTTCAACTGTTAAAACATCACACTGGGTTTCTGTAATAGAAAATGGTAGTCTTTCCACTGCCTTTGCAAGCTCCCAAAAGGACAAAACATTATATTCTTTTCAGGGTAGGAGATAACTTTTGAAGTTCTTCTTTCTTTTTTTTTTTTCTGGGTAAATGTGTGTTCACACTTCACATGCCAGCTCAAGTATCATCTTACACCTTTCTT